TTTTTACTGTCTAGTAATAATTTAAAAAAATAAAATAATTAAAATTTATTTAAGTAAAAAACATTACATATTATGTAAAGAATTTAATACAACAATTCTCTAATTAAAAAAAAAATCCTTAAAAAAATAATTAGCGAATTGTTGATATTAAAATTAATAACGCTATTAATATAAATGCTAAAAAATTGCTGAAAAAGAAGGCAATAAAATAAAATTATTTAAAAGGCACGAAAAAAATTGCAAATATTTGTAAAAGAAGAAATTTAATAACGGTGGAAAAGATATAAATATTATATTTTAAAATTGCGTTTATATTGATAGCAAATATAAATAGTGAATTTATAATTAAGGTTTAGAAATATTTGCTATCAATGTAAATACATTAATTTTATTTACACATAATATCAATAAAAATTTTTTCAAAGTGGTTAAAATAATATTGAACAATAAAAATTGGTTTACGATTTTTTTACAAAAAAATATATGAAAAAAAGCGGTGTGGTTAATCAAAGTGGTTAAAATAATATTGAAAAATAAAAATTGGTGTACAAATTTTACCAAAAAATATTTGAAAAATAAAAGTGGTGTGGTTAAATGTTATTAAAAACAAATTAAATACTTTTTTCCCCCTCACGTTAAAAGAATACACTCAAAAAGCTTAGATTCTTTTAAAGTGAGGGGGAAAATATAAAAAATACTCATTATATTTTTTAATTGGGGTGTGGTTATTATTATTAATTATATAAAAAATACAAAAAATTTCCCCGCACGTCAAAGAATCCACTCAGAAAAAAACTTGACTTCTTTGACGTGTGGGGACACTGTTACACGTCGGGGTACTTGTCTACTTAGTACGTGTCCAAAATATCAAATTTTCAAAAAAAATTTTTTTGGACACGTGCAAGACAAGTAATCCGACATGTATAGCCTCCAAATTCCAGAGTAGGGCACAAAAGATTTTTAGTCAATTAAATTGCAAAATGAGAACTTTCTAGTTTTTAATGTTCTACTCTCATTTTATAATTTAATTGACTAAAAATCAGTTATCCCCTACTCTGGAATTTGTAGGCCCCGACCCATATCGTATTTACAAGTAGGACAATGTCTATAAAAACGGGATAAATCCCAAAAACACGTTTTGTGCAATTTATGGGAACATGGTAAAAAAATTACGCTTTGTTTCGGCATAAAGTCACGTACACATACTCCGCAAAGAGGATCCTCTTCTTTTGATTTATATGTTGCTGCCAGTTGCACACGGGAGGCTAATAATATGTTTCGCTCTTTACCATTAAGTCCTTTTTTTGGTAAATCAATATCATGAATGCGGCGTTCTCCGCGAAAATAAATTGCATCAGGATCGTCTGGTGGTACTACATAACTTACAATTCCTGGAGCTGGGGGAGTATGTCCAGGATTACCATATAATCTCTATTATATTTTTTGTTAAAAAATAGTAAAAAAAGAATAAAATTTACTTGCGGATTTGATTCGGCAAGAAGCGACTGTTGTGCCAATTCAGCAGAAGGTGACACTACTTCCTACAAAAAAAGGCCCCCTAGCTTTTTTTTAAAAAAAAAGCTAGTGAGTATTTATATTAGAGAGTAGGTAAAACTATCTAACGTTTTTCACTTATCCCTGTCAGAGTAATTAAAAGAGTAAATACTAATGATTAAATTAAATACCCCTAAAATTTTGAAATATCATGTACCGTTTGATTTCTTTTGATTAAATTCGAATTTTTATTCTAATATATTGATATATCATTTGAAAAAATTTCATTAAAAAAATTATTGTGAAAGCAATAATATTATCGTATTTGTAATAATTCGTTATAAGTAAGCTTATTCAATTTTAAACAAAAACAAAATTTAAACAAGATACTAGAATATTTGTTCATATAAATGTAAATTCAATTTTTAAATTCAATTTCATGCCAATTCAAAATTCAGTTTTATTTTATCTAAATACCAATAAAACTTATAAAAAAATTTAAGCTTTTTTTTAAATTTCTATTCCATCTTAAATGATAACAATTTCAAATTATTTTTTCAAAATTTTTAAAAAAATTTTCTAATCAATGTTTAAAATTTTTTTAGATTTTTTTCCTTTTTCAAATTTCTATTTCATTTTAAATAATACACATTCAGAAATAAAATTTTATTTTTTAAAAAACTAAAAAGAATAATCAAATTCCATTTCATAAAATATAAAATTTTTATTTTAGACAAGAATGAAAATAAATATTTTTATCATGATATATTTAATTCAAAACCAAGTTTTATTTTATCAAAATACTATAAAAATTTTTAAATATTTTAAAGCTTTTTTTCAAATTTTGATTCATTTTTAATAATAAACAATTTCATTTTTGTAGATTTTTTTCAAATCCTTTTTTCAATTTCATTTTAAATAATAAACAATCTCAAATTTTTTCACAATTAAAAAATTTTTTTTCAAATGATTAACAAAATTTTTTAAATTTTTTTTCCAATCTCTATTTCATTTAGTTAATAGACAAATTCAAACAAATTTTTTTTCAAGCAAGTTACAAATTTTTTTCAAATCATTTTTAAAAACTTTTATTTAAAAAATTTTTTTTCAGTTTAAAAATTTTTTTTTTATTTTTTTCAGTATAACAAATTTTTTTCAAATCATTTGAAAAATTTATTTAATTTTTTTTTCAAATCTCTATTTCATTAAGTTAATAAGCAAATTCAAAAAACTTTTTTCAAGCAGGTTTCAAATTTTTTAAAGATTTTTTTCACATCTATATTTCATTTTAATTACTAAACAAAATCAAATTTTTACAAAAATTAAAAAAAAATTTTCAAACAATTTATAAATTTTTTTCGAATCTGTATTTCATATTACTTAATAAATTATTTCAAAAAAAAATTTTCTCAAAACAATTTTTTAATTTTTAAAAATTTTTTTCAAATTTCTATTTCAGTTCAAATAATAAACAAACGTACAATTTTTATTTTTGCAAACATAAAAGTAAATTAATCGAAAGTTAAAGATTAATGAAAAAATTTTAATAAGTTTGATTCAATTTAATTTTAATTTCTAAATAAATTCAATTTTAACTTGTTCTTTTCTTCTTTTTAGTAAATAAGCAAATCATAAATCTTCAAAATCCTTGAAAATTGTAATAAAAGTTTTTTTTATTAAATTTTAAATTAATAACAATTCAATTTTAATGTTGTATTTTTTTAAATAAAGTTCTAATTCAAACGGTACATGTAAAACGTTAAACCATAGGATTTATAAATACTCACATATTCGACATCTCTGTCAATAGCAGCAGTTGTATTGCTGGCATAAGAAGAGTTCTGCACATTACCAACATGAGGATTTTGATTTGCTGCAGATGTTGAAGGACCTTCCTCTAAATAATATTTTTTTAAAAAAATTTAAATACAATTTTTTAAAATAAAAATTTAAATAAAATTTTCGCTTATTCACTCAGATTTTTTTTCCGAAAAACACAATTAAAATTTTTAACTACCTATCATATTTGTAGTCTGCTGAGACGCCGCAATTTGCCCTTGTTCTACAATTGTTAAAGTTGAGCTTTTTGAAAATTTTAATTTGAAATCTATCGATCCTGCCCAGTTTATTCTTTCATTGTCCTCAGGTACAACGATCAAGTTCTTTAACACCACTATCTGTAATTAACAAACATTTAAAATTTATAAGAACTTAATTAAATTACATCATTAATATTTGCTGTCTCCAATTTCGATGCCTGCTCGTTCCAGCCGAAAATTGAAATGCGCTCTTTCTCGTGAGTCTGTCCGACCTCCACTACAAGATCTCCCCTGTCGTATTTATTTTTTGTTGTTAACGCACGCTTCACAAATACCACTATGCCTTTTAACTCTCTTAAATTTATTTTTTTAAGATTTACCCCCCCCCCTTCCCCAAAAAAACTCACTCAAATATATCATTCTTTTTCCATGCTAGCATTAATACGTCAGTACTCGTCAAATTTGTAATTGGATCAATTAGTGTTAATAGATGTAGATTTGCTGGTCTGGTAGTTTCACGCAATCGTCGTTTTTCGGCTATCTGATTAATTTATTAATAAATTAATTTTTAAATAAAATTTTATTTTAAAATCTACCTCATCTGCTAACGCCTGTTTTGCTTGTAATGCCTCCGTTTCTTGTGGACTTAATTGTTGTTGTTGTTGAGGAACATTAGAATTAGTTACTTTTGGTATTGTATAGCCCCGAAAATTGGGACTTTGTATTTGTTGTTGTTGTTGCTGCGGAATATTTTGATGCAACTGATTAGTAATTGGACGGACTTGAGTTATTGGTGATTTCTTCCTTTTTCGGGAAGCAGAAGAAGAATTTGAAGACATTTTTTTCTAAATTTAAAAATTGCATATAGGTAATTTAACACTAAATTAATATAAAACTTAACTAAAAGTTGTTTTATTTAATTAAATTTTTTAGCTAAATTAATTTTTAAAATGAAACTAGTGAATAATGAGTTGGGGACTGCAGCAAATACGCCTATTTTTTTATACGAACAAAAGATCGCTTACATTGATAAACACCCTTAAATTCTTTTGTATAGCTTAACCTATGCTTAATGAAATGACGAGTGGTAGTGAAAACAATGCTATAAAGGAATTTAAATTAACTAAGTGAAGATATTTTGCTCGGTTTTAGGAATTTATTTATAGTTATCAAATAAACGATCTTTTATTGTTCAACAAAAAGAAAAATTTAGAAAATTAATTTAAAAAAAATTTTTTTAACTTAAGAGTCTTACTGTTTTTTTTTACTTTGGCAAAAAAGTTTTAATTAATTTTTGCTGATGTGAATGTTTAAAAAATTTTAAAACTTGTAAGAAAATTTACAAAAAATTAAATTTGATAATTTTAATTGTTCTACCTTTCCTCTATCAAAAGGCATCATCAATCTCGGTTTATGTTCAATCTTCTTTACATCTTAAAATGAAATTTTTATTGTACAATGATTTTTTTAAATAAATTGTTTTTTACCAGTAATTTTGCATAGAATTAGCAAAACAGCTTGAATAACAAAATCATATTCTTCCATATTGAATTTAATTTTTATTGGTTCAGATCTTGCCTAAAAATATGATAAAATAGAATTTTGTTAAAAAATATATTTGGATTTCTATTTTCATCATCCTTAGGAAGAAAAAATTATCATCAAGCGAGTTTATATAATTGAATTTTAAATTATGGAGACTGAACCAGATTAGAGAAAAATTTGTATTTTAAAGTGAGATTGGTTAACTTAAAGTTAAGACCAATTTACAAAAATAAACTTACCATCCATTGATTGTTGTATGTTCGAGAATTGTGACTAAAATAATTAAAGTATTCGCATAAAATTTATTTTTATAGCAAAAAGCAAAAATTTAAGTAAAAAAAATTACAATCCAAAAATAGTTATCCAATCCTTTGATGTACTTGCCAATAAATCAGCAATAAATGACCTAACCCTGCAATGAAGTTGACCTTTTGGTTTTACATTAGAATAAATAGATTCATTTCCGAGAGTTAGTGTTATCTCCATTGAAAGCTAATTTAAATATTATTTTATATCAGATGATTTAATATAAACGAACCAATCCAGCACTAGTTATTGTAAAATCATCCTGTAATGCAAGAACAGCTGCATAACCAGAGAAAGCACGAGTATGTCCGGGAACATTATTTGGATATTAAATAAAAATTTTAATTAAAAAAATAAAATAAATTAAACCATAGGCAAATTTGTAAAGTTTCAATATTCTGTTCATTGTATTTAGACCAGCCATTGTTACATGGGCCATTTGTCTTAAAATATATTTTAAAGTTGTATGTCAAAAATTAAAAATATATTTTAATAATATTTAGAATGAGAAAGAACAGAAGTAAATTTAAATAATTCAGAACTGAAATTTAAATAGCACAGCTTAGATCATAGTATAGGTATTTCAGAATATCCGTGACTGGGCCGAAAGAAAAGAAAAAATACACATAGGATTAGAGTTCCCGGTTGTTGTAGAAAGCGGGATATAATCGCAATGAAAATCAAATGTTTTTAAATAAAAATCAGATTAATTACAACTAAATTATCTACTGATATTCCAATTAAACTTAGAATTATTAAAAAATAATTTTAGCTAGATAATTCATAAAATTCCCTGACATGTCTTTATTTCCTTCAAGTACTATAAATCCAGAGCAGTGATTATTTGAAGAATAACTAGTTTTAGGTTTTTTAAAAACTCTATCCAAATCATAAAAATCCCCAGCCATTTGTATTTTTAAAATTGGAGTAATTGCAAATCTAACTCTTGAAAAATAAAATTGTTTTTCTGGGCCATAACCTATAAAATAATTTTTAAAATAAAAAATTTCAACTACCCAACCATCTTGAATTCCAGTAAGTTGGGTATGTGTCTAAAAATTCCAAGAAAAAAATAAAATTAAAATTTAATAATTACTAAATTAACATGCCGCCAATATAAATCTGTTGGAGGGTTTGACATTACCTTAAAAAAATTTTTTAAATTTTTCTTAAAAAAATTTTTTTAATTTTTTTAAAACCTAACGTCAAATACATTGGATTTTTTTAGAGCAAGTTTGGCTTTATTTCTCTTTATTTTTTTATCGATTTGTTCGCGCCCCCTCTAACACTATTTCCTTAAAATCTTTTCACAGCAAAAATGCTAAAAATCTCTACTCGGCTAAAAATAGTGGTCAGGGACGTTTCAGCTTAATTATTACAGAGTGGACGTTTTAGAGTGCCGTTTCAGAGTAGCTGTTTCAGCATAGCCGGTTCAAAGTAGCCTTTCATAGTAGTCGTTTCAGAGTAGTCGTTTCAGTGTAGCGGTTTCAGGGCGGCCATTTCAGAGTAGCCGTTTCAGAGCGGCCGTTTCAGAGTAGCCGTTTCAGTGTGGCTGAGAGCCAAAAGTTTTTAAAAATAAATTATCGATTGATTGCCCGCCGGCCCGACTCGACACGGCCCCCGCTTCAGGCTACAGCCACCCCCGTGTCAAGAATTTCCTCAGGCCACATTTGATACCTTTTGGATTCTGATGCAATACTTTTAATCACCCAGAATCGACTTCGGAATCGCCTTCAGAATCGCCTCAGAATCCTTTCAGAATCGCTTCAGTTTCCCTTCAGAATCGCCCTCAGAATCGCTTCAGAACCACTTCAGAATCGCCCTCAGAATCGCTTCAGAATCGCTTCAGAATCGCCCTCAGAATCGCTTCAGAATCGCCCTCACTTTACTTATCCCCCGCACTACTCCATTCAACCCCCACAACCTCCTATAGGAGTGGGTTAACAAAGTATTGATCGATTAGAACAAGAGAGCCTGAAGAGACCGGTTATATGGGAACAGAGTAAATTTTTTCTCTGACTTCTCTAACCCAATAATCGGTCTCTTCAGAGCCCTCTTGTTCTAATCGATCAATACTTTAATAATGGTAATATAGTAGTATAATACCTTGAGATATGCTCAAGTTCCTGTTCGCTTAGTTCAGAGAACTGTTTTAGGGTAGACCATCGACCCCACCCCCACTGCATGAGAAGTTTTTCCACCTAAATTTCAAACAAAATCAGAAATAAAAACGAAGCTCCATATATTTAGTAAATAAATTGTTAGTTGAAGATACCTTTTTGAGTTGAACAATTGTACAAGCGAGCTCGGGGTGCCGATTACTTGCAGAAGCTTTGTGTCGTTGGCGCACTTCATCCCCTTGAATATGCGTGTCATCCTCATTGAATGGATATTTATAGTCGTCCTCTGCGCCAGCTGATGCCATTCCTGTAGCACGTCTCTTCTTACGAACGCTGCGACTTTTGACATTTTCTGCTATTCTAGAAGAACCTTTTACATGGCGATCATCTACAAAATAAAACAAAATTTAATAAATTTCTGTTTCTAAGGAAATGTAGAAAATTAGCAAAATATTACCATCATCAGAAATTGTATCGTCTGCACTCTCAGAATTTCCTTTAAAGTTGTCCTCCTCGAATCGCTTCTTACGTGCTCGTGGTTCATGCACAATTAAATGTTTTGATGAAAAATCACCATGCAGAGCACCTACATCTATATTGGCCTTTTTAGCCCATTTAGACCAAAAGTCAGGATCACTATGATAATTGAAATAATTACATACAAAATAAGTTTGTCCCCAATATATCCAAGTAAATAACCTGATATCGATATCATCACGGTTATGTGACAATGTAAACGATGCTTTCGCAAAGGTGGAGCCTTTTACTCCAGGCTGTAAATAGTATTTTCGTTTTAGAAATGTTTAATAAGGCATACTTCTAGTTTAATCGTTTGAGCACGGCGCTCCAGAATGGTATCTATATCCTCCTCGCCAAACTTGGCATCTTCATTATCTTCGTCCATAATTGCACCTAGAAGATCGCTTATATTATAATTTGAGGAATAAAAATTCAATACCATATGCTCCTTTTCGTAACAAGTCCTCTACTTCCTGACGGCTCAATTGATGACTGCTTTGTAAATTGCATTCAGTTCTCCTGTATATAGAAAATATACTTTTACTAATCAAGTTCTTTAAAAAATACATTGACTGGAGCACAGCTTTATCCAGACCTGTAAACACATAGCATGAATTTAGTAGTTTAAAAAGTAAACATACCCAACTTCAGACTAGCTTTATCAAACATCTCACGTTCGTAAGTATTAGCAGTTATTAGCCTAAAAATAATTAGAAAACATGAAAATTATTTGAAAAAAATATTTCAAAATGATTATAAAATATACAGGTTATATAGAATTATAAAGGAAATATACCTATAGATTTTAACTTGTTTAGTTTGACCAATACGATGACAACGAGCTTGAGCTTGCAGATCATTCTGGGGGTTCTATTTTTAAATATAAATTATATTTTTATTGTAAATATATGTACCCAATCGCTATCAAAAATAATGACTGTATCAGCTGCTGTCTAAAAATCTGATAAATATTCATATTTTCAATAAATTACCAGATTAATGCCCAAACCACCAGCACGTGTACAAAGTAGAAAAACAAAGCAATCTTTATTTTCCGGTTTAGAGAATCTGTCAATGGCAGCTTGACGTTCACTCCCACTAAAGATAAAAAAATTTTTGTGATCAAGATTTTTAACCGTATGTTTCCATCAATTCGCTCAAATGGGTACCCTTTGATATTGAAATACTCCTCGAGCAAGTCCAGAACTCTAACCTTTAAAATAAAAAAAGAATTAAATACATACAATGAAATTCAAACCATTTGCGAGAAAAGCAACACCCGATGTCCATCGGCGCGTAATTTAGGAAGCAATTTATCAATTAGGACAACTTTGCCTGAACTGGAAATAAGGCCAATAACATGTCGCTCTTCTTCAGATTTCTCCGGATAAATATGCTTAAGCTCATTAAGAATCTGCTCTTCTGCTCCATTAATTAAATAGGGATGGCTATAAAATAAGGAAAATTTACGAAGTATTTATAAGTAGGAAAACGATCAAAAACCAACCAACAACATTTACGCAATTGCATCATTGTGTTAATTAAAGAAGGTGTCGTTCCTTTCATCAAATGCGTAAAATTGCGTTCGAGAACTGCTCGATAATATTTCTTTTGAATGTTTGATAATTGGACCTAGAAATTAAAAATATTTTTTTATTAAAAATTTCAATTGTCAAAAATTAACCTCAATAATAGTTTCTTCTTTTGGTTGAAGTTCTTTTTCAACGTCTTCCTTCAAACGGCGCAACATCATAGGCTTTAGAATCTCTTGTAGCTTCTGAACCTGTTCTTCGGTCTGACATTGGCCAAATTGTTGAAGAAACGCCTCAGAATTAGCTGAATATTTATTAGATTTAATTTTAAGACAAATTCAATTCATCTTAACAATAATTAAGGCTGTGATAGTTAGGCATGTAAAATTAGTGAAATAGGCGCCTAAAATAGGCACCAAAAAGACAAAAAAGGCACAAAAATAGGCATGTAAAAAAGGTTATCAGACCATAAAATGGAGATAAAAACAAAAAAATAACCATTTAATCCTCATTTTTTAAATTATAAACTATTTATTAAACAATTTTACCAGTTATTCGTCATTTTGAATCATTTTTTGAAAAAAATGGGGTAAATTTTTTTAAAATGTCGATAATTGACAAAATGGAAATCTCGCCCAACACACAAAACGCCGTACCCCAAAACGTCCCAAAACCAAATCGTCCCAGTTCAAAATGTCCAACAGAGTAAAAATATACAATTTATCGAACTAAAAATCAATAATGGGACTTGGCACTGATTTTTTCTAATTTGGGACTGATTTTTTTAGATTTTGCACTGATATTTAGGCAAAATTTCGAAAAAATCGCTAAAAAAGGCAAAAATAGTACCAAAAATTTCAAAATAGGCAAAAAGGCACAAAAAGTCCAAAATAAGCAGAAATAGGCAAATTAAAAGTCATGCTAGACTATTCGGACCAAGCTAAAAACACGTTTTTTGAACGTATTACATCATCCCAAGCTTGCAGAAAAAATAGGCATTTGCCTATAAATCACAGCCTTAACAATAATGCTACAAAATTTATAATGAAAGAAAAACTGACCAAATTGTTCCGGCTCGAGAAAGTTAAGAAGAGAGAAGAGCTCTTGGATATTATTTTGTAAAGGAGTACCCGTCAAAAGAACACGATGGTTCATACGAAGGGAAAGTAATCCTGATTGCAGAAGTTTACAATTTCTATTTTTAATTCTATGGGCTTCATCTAGAAACAAGTAAAATTACAAATTTACTCGATGACAACAAACCAATTATACAAACACAGAAATTGATTCGTCGAAGTACTTCAACTTCTTGTACAACAACTTAAAAGTAAAAAGAGGTAAGAAAGTTATTACAAGTAATAATGCAAGTAATATATACATACCTTCATAAGTAGTAATTAATGCATCAAATTTTGGCACATTCCGTCTCCTGCCATCAACTTTTTTGTAGAAAAATTCATAATCTCTTATTATTTTGCGGCTAACAGCACCTCCGTGGTAAACAATTGCATTAATTTCTAGAAAACAAATACTAGTAAAATACATAATTATTCAAACCTGGAGCCCATTCGTTAAATTCACGCTCCCAATTTCCAAGAGTTGAAAGAGGAACCTGAAAAAATATAAACAGTTTTAAAAAGAACAGTTATGCCATTTTAAGAAGAGAAATTTAAATTAAAAGTATTACCACAATGAGGAATGGTCCATGAACGCCGATGTCTAAACAATAAAAATATATATGTATATTAGCAAGGCTCACAATTAGTAATTTTTAAATAGTTACCATAAAGAGAAAGAAGAAACACAATCTAAAATATCTTAGTTGAAATAATAAAACTTGATCATACTTACGCTTTGAACTGTTTTTCCTAATCCCATCTCGTCAGCTAGAATACAGTTTCGACCATTTATCCATGTCCATAGCAACCAATTTACACCCTCGTGCTGGTATTCACGCAGAATATTGTCATTATTGTAAATTTTATCTTTTGGGATGGCCAAACGTGAGGAAAATTCCTAAAGGATATTTCTTAAAATTTATGAACGCAAAAGCTAATCATATTTTTAAAGTATTATGACAAAATGATAACTGACCTTAGGGGAAATTTTAGGATGTTCCTTCAATTTAAAGAGATCAAACTCAGAGCGGCGACGAAAATCCAACAATTTCTGTCTTGGTACATCCTCTTCCAATTCCCATGTACTGAAAAAAATAAGCTTGAAAAATATGCAAAATAACATAAACCTCTCTTCATAAGGCAATGACTTCCATTTAACGAAAACCTAATAAAATATAATATAATGTCAGTGTACATTATTGATTAAAATATGTACATATTGTTGCTGTTCCTTTTTGTCGTAGGTTTCATCAAGGACACGGGAGACAACAGTGTAATCCTCATTGAAAAAATCACGTTGATCCTCATCATCCTCCTGAACATCCACAGCAGTAGTGGGATCATTTCCAAATTTTAATTTCCATCGATTCAATTTGGAAGCCACCCGTTTGTCTCCCAAAGCTTCGAGCTCTTGGATCTTAATAAAAAGAAATTAATAAGGATGAATTTCCTATTTCAAAGCTTAAACAAAGCAATAAAACAATAGAAAGATTTATCGGCTCCCCCATGCCCTTTTTGCCATACTATGCGGCCACGGATTTATCATATCTAAAGCATCTTTAAAGGTTAGCAGAATTACCGTTTTCCATTCACAATGCAAATAAGATAAGCCTTTGAATTTTACATAAACTTCTTCAACATTCTCAGAATCTATAATTTTCTCAGAATCCATAATCTGCAAATCTTCTTTATTTGGAATTGTTTCGCCATCCTGAATAGGCAATTTTGTTTCACTTTCATCCTTTTCGTTAGAATTTTCAGTTTTTGTTGGTTCATCTTTGATTTCTTTATTTGATCCTTCAGAAATACTGCATACTTCTTCATTACTTTTTAAAGGAATTTCAGCGTCAACTACTTTTTCATTATCATCTAACTTTGGGTCATCTTTCTTATCCGTAAGATCGTTATTCGAAACCGGCCTTTTTACAAATCGAACGCCCAAAATCCTCTCAACAATTCGGCTTTCTTTGGTTTCCTATAAATTTAAAATGAAAAATTATCAATTATTTGAAATCTTAGGCCAAAAAATATTTTATTTCCTTGAATATTAATTTCTAAAGATACTAAATCACCTTTTGTTCAGGCAAAGGATTTCGAATTTCATATTCATTGTCACTTTCTTCTCCATAATTTGTCTTTTTATCAATTTCCTTTTTACGTGATGACCTCTTTTCAACAAAGAATTCACTATCCAACTTCAAATCATCCAAGCATGTTTCATCTGTCGTAAAAGAAGATCCAGACTTTCTTTTAACACTTGCCCTCTTATTAATTTTAGGTCTTTTTTCACTTCTACCAGTGACATAATCCTCATCATCAGGTTTGTTCCAATCCAAAATTAAACGCTTCTTGCGTCTTGGTTTTGTATTTTTCCCGCTTTGGCGACTCGCAGCAAAAGAATTATAAGAATCATTACTTGTAGTTTGAAATGAAAATGCAAAATCATCAACAGGAGTAGTTTCATTTGTTGAAGAGTCGCCATGTTGAAATTCCTCAACTGTAGATTCTTCAAGCTAAAAAGGCAAAAAAATTTTTTTGAAGTACTAACATAAGTAGATTGGGCAAATACCTTTTCAGCAGTTTCTTCTTCCAATTTAGTCTCAGACGTAGATTGAATTAAATGTTCACTTTTTATTTCAACAGTTGTTTCCAGTCCTGGTTTCTGTATGTCCAAAACCTTAGCTTCTAAACCATCACTGTCATCTGTAAATCGCCGTTTTATTCCCCTTTTTGATTCTTTTTTGTTAACAATAACATCAAAACTCCCAGTTTTGTCATCAATATCTTCTTCATCAACAAGTGATTTATCACTTAAAAGTTCAGATTCTTTCAAAGAATTTTGTGGCTGTAAATGTCTTTCTTGAATTTGTTCAACAATATAAGTTTGTTTATTATTAGAAGTGACTTCCGTTTCTGAAATTTAAACTTTTTTAAAATTATTTTGATACAATAAATAAGGAATAGCCGAAAATTTGAAAATCATATATGAAGTAATGTAAAAATAAATTTGTCCCTCCAGTTTTCTCTTACAAGGAGCATAAATTAAATACAAACCTTCTGGGACAATATCACGTTGTTCTGATGATGTAGCTTCATTGTCATTAAACTCAACAGTTGTTTTCACTTCTAATTCCTGCATGTTCTGTTCCGAAATTTGAGTGAGAGGCTTTGACGCTTCATATGTAGCCTCAACTACTTCAAGCAAATAAATGGGAAACGTTTTGGAAAAATTTGCTGTTGTTTCGCAAGCGAGAAAGCTCAGACTAACGCTTGTCAAAGACATAGGGGGTGAAGGAGGTGACGGTAGTCTATTTTCCGACTCTAAAATAAATTCAATGCAGTAATGTAATAAATTTCAAAACCTGGTAAAATATTCTGTCGAATAGTATCAGGTGATTGGAAACATGGTTGATCGAGACACTTTACTTGTTCTTCCTGTAATTTCTGTTGTTGCTGACGGCGCTTATGCTCACGTGACAGATTCGGTGGCAACGGTTCAGGAGGAATAGAATCCTTGGCAGACGGATCTTGCTGTTGATCACCATGATTTGGAAATTGATACTGCCTTTGTGAGTCATAATTCATCGATTGCTGCATATCTGCTCCTGCAGTCGATATAACAGGTTGCGCTATGTTTGGTTGTAAATCTTGACCGTGGTAGACACTAATCAGAGTGCGACCAGGGACTTCAGGGCGAATGTTAACCTTAAAAATAGAAACATGAGATTATACAGAAGCTTGAGACTTGATTCCGTTATATTAGGTATAAAAACTGACTTGCACTTGATTAGATGCAGACATAACCGCTACTGATGGCGAGGACATACTTGGCATAGGTGGAATGTATTGCTGAAGCGATGCAATCGGTTGTTGATGTTGGTGCTGACGTGGTGACAACGGCTGCTGAACCACATTTGCACCAACAGTGTTGGAGTGATAAGGAGCTGGAGGTATTGGAGGCGCTGGATGATACTGTTGCGAAGAAAAGTGGGGCTGGATGCAATTTTGCTGCTGAGAGTATGGATTTAAATTAGGATTTACTAGTTTCTGTTGATGACCAGCTGAGAAATGATGCTGGGATGATTGCCCACTGTAATGTGGTGAATATTGTCCAGCTATCTGTGGTGGTATGACAGAATGAGAAGTCGTGGACAAATGCATTTCTGTGAAATTAAATCAATAATATAAAAAAATCTGCTTAAATCCACCTGTGGAGTGCAGTTGGCCATGCGCTGTTTCAGAGCCCATTGCAGCAGATACTGCAGTATTCATTGCGTAACTAATTTGCATTAATTGTGCGTGCAAATATTGCCTTCGAATTTGAATCTTTTCCACTCTTATTGCTAGCTCTGGATTCTGCTGCACTTGTGGTATTAAAGAAGCTAATTGTTGATCGCACTCGAAAAGTTCACGATAAATGTGTTGGTGTTGCTGCTGTTGTCGAGTTATATTATACGGCTGTGTTAAATATGGCTGTTGTTGATATGGCGATGATATTCTGCTGCATCCCTCCTAATCAAATAAACAAACTAAAAATAAATGATGTATTCACGTGCATTCACAGGCACAAATATTTTGACCTTTTCCTATATTAAAAGGAATCCCGACCGTTATCAGAGTTTATCACAATTCCCGACCCTTATATTATTATTTGTTATTCACTTGTTTACCCCAATCTTGACCTGTTAATGTCCCCTATAAATACTCATCCAAAATGGTCATTCATCTTATCTTAATATCTAATTAGAAGTGTTTATGTGAGTTCTGGCCAGACTCTTGTAATTGTCCCCTTTCCCTCTTTTCGCTATGTATATATTTTTATTTGTAAATAGTTAAATGTAAATAAATAATTTAAAGAATATAATTTGAATAATCCTCGAAAGGCTTCGGAACCCAATCCCAACATTTGGTGCCACTTGTCCCGGGCAAGCCTTGTCGAGAGAAAATGCGCAAGAAATGAAAGCACATAAAAAAAAACGGAATTCCAGTAAAGTCGAAATTAGAAATAATTAAATGTGCTAAAATAAAATAAAGTGATTAAGAAATCCTCAAAAATTGAGAGCTCGAGCTTAAACTCCTTAAATGGTCTAATTGTAAGAATTTTGCAAAAAAAAAAATGGAATTTTTTTAAGAAATGAGAAAAATTTTCTCAAATTAAGAGTCTCTTCTGCAGCCTAAAAAATTAAAAGAATATTGAAATAAAAATTAGGAAAATGGAAGATAAAGTTGAATAAGTCAAAAACGAACGATAAAAGCCTAAAGAAAATAAAATTTAAAAATAAAGTTGAGCTAGAAGAATGACATGAAATCGCTTGATAAAAATTAAAAGAGATTGGTTAAAAATTATTAGTAAACCGTTTGTTTTAAATCAAAAATAAGAGAAACAATGTAGCGCCGCAGTATTTAAAAATACTCTTTGCTACCTCTGCATATCTCTTATCTAACGTAAATAAAAAGATATAATAATGAAGGCAGGTGAAGCTGGGTGCACACTCTGTCGGCTTAGTGCCAAGTACTTAATATAATGAAGAAAATCTGTACAGTAATGAAATGAATCAAGGCGGGTGCAGCTAGGTGCACACTCCGTCGGCTAGGTGCCCTGAAAAGGATATTAAGCGGGTAAAGCTGGGTGCATACGCCGCAGGCTTAAAGAGCCAAATACTCCTTGAGATAGTAGAAATATGTATCTCGAAATAAATTTTGTGAATATTGTATTGGTAATAGATTTAAAACAACTAAAACTAAAAAAAATATACTATTTGTGAAAATTTGTGTGAAAAAAAAATTTTTTTTCAAGCGCAGAAATTTTATTAAAAGAAATGATCAGAATGAATATAAATTTTCTTAGGCTCAATACAACGAAAACAATTGCGCAAAAATGAGAAAAAAAAAGGCATGCAAAATAATTTAAAAAAAAAGTATAGTATGAAATTGAGTAAAACAAGAAAGTATTTTTTCAAATAAACGTGTTAAAATGTTTTGTCAGTTAAACTCATCCTGCAACTAAAAACAGAGGCTATTATATAAAACAAAAGCAAAAAAAAAATCCCTATTTAGAATTGAAAAAAAAATATAGGCCGCTCACTTAATGAAAAGACAGAATCAGAAAAAAAATAAAATAACCTTACAAAAGATAAAACAGAGAGATAAAAGAGATCAAACAGAGAATATGTATTTTTGAAAAATGAAAACCTGCTTAAAATAATAAAAAGCAAAAGAATAAAACCGTCAAAACCTACGTTTAGAAAACGTAAGACTCACGAGTATTGATACAATATTGTACTTAAATATTGTAAAACGTAGATATTGTAAAACGATGTTATAGATAAAATCTAAAAGGTTATTAGAATAATTAACTTAGCAGTTCAAAACAAGTCATTATCGCAAAAAGACCACTCACTAATGCAGAGAATGTGATAATCAAACAGCTAAAATAAAATAATACTCATAAATGCAGAGAAATGGTATTTTAAATTGAGATTTAACATAAATTTTTTTGATATGAGAGAATTTTAATAAATGAGCAATACCACAAATAACTATTGTTGCTAACTTGACAAATCAATGTGAATTCTATTAGATAAAGGAGCCCACATATTATTGTTAGGTAAAAGGATGGCATAAAACTTAAAAATTAATAAAATTCAACCCCCTGAAATATACGGCATAGTAGAGATTGGAGAGAGAATAGTACCTACTATAGGAAAAGTAGAGATTAAATTTAAAACCGCTGCTTCCGAGAAGAAAAAAGCACAAAACTCCCGCTTTATCTGATTTCAAAAAAAAACACAATTAATTAATAATGCAGGACAAAAAGAAATCTTACTATGGAAGAGCGAGAAAAATTAGAAATAGAACATGAAAAAAGGCGAGTGTAGTAAAAAAAAAATGAAAATGACAATTTTTACATTATAAATTGCTCCGACAATTTAAACAAACATTGAAATTCCGGCTATTGACGACCTTACCAAGTATCGGAAAAATATCAAGCAGAATTAAATAAACATTTGAAAATGTTAAAAATAGGAGTAATTAAAAAAAATATGAGATAAGAGAAGCAAATAAAATAGAACTAAAAGAATATATGTAGGTCTTCACCCATCCCTAAAAAAATAGGAGATTCACCGGCAAATCGAATGTTTAAAAGGGAAATGAATACCTAAATTGATAAGCTGAAACACCGGCAGGGAAAAAAATCAAATACCGTCAGAAAATAAACATTAGTCTCGCCGAGAAAAACACTAATTTGTTTTAAAATAATGAAATGCCCGAAGAAATTGTTAGTAAAATAATTCACCGGGACTTGATAAAAGCCGTCAATTTTCAACAAGTCACACGCAAAAGTCGCACATGGAGTAATATTTTTTAGAAAATTTGTTGAGAAAACCAAAAGTAAGATTTAATAAAATAACATGTAGTACATAATCCCAAAACCGAGAAAAAAGTAGAGAAAAATCCCCTGTCTTAAATTGGGAGAATCGACCGAAACATCAGAAGAAGATAACTTCCTACAACGATAAAAACATAGGCCTCTGCAGCAAAATCAACTCAGGAAGGATGAAGAAATGTTCAAAAAATCAACTAAATGGAAACAAAAAGTCTGCTCTGCAACTTGAAAACAAAAAAGGAACTCAACTAAAATCGCTGCTCTTCTACAAAGTGTTTGACTGGATTGTAATAAAACCCCTTTTAACATTTATTGCTAACTATCCAAATTTCACCTCACTTTGTTTTCCGTCTATTTACCAAAAATTTTTCTGTACTCATGTAAAACAACCCATAACCCTTTCTTTTTCAACGTAATATCCCTATAATTAATTTTTCGGAGAATTTGGCAAAAAAAAAAGCTGAAAAAAAAAAGAAACATTAAAGAAGAAAACTAAAGAATAATTCAAAGCGAATTATAGCTTTTACAATAATTAATAAAAGTATACTAGTAATTTGAAAGCCGTCGCCAAGACGAGAGACAATCAAAATAAAAATTAAAATTTTAAAGATAAAGCTTGGTCGGAGTAAAATTGTAAGGAAGTATTAAAAAAAAAACCGTCGTTCGGAATTGTACGATGAGGAAATTAAATTCTTAAATCTTGTAGAATATTAAAAAAAATATATATTACATTAATAAAATAGCCTAAATTACCCTCATTTTAAAAAAAAAAATTAAACTACAATTTTGAACGTGGACGTTCAAATAAAGGGGGAAGGAATGCTGCATCCCTCCTAATCAAATAAACAAACTAAAAATAAATGATGTATTCACGTGCATTCACAGGCACAAATATTTTGACCTTTTCCTATATTAAAAGGAATCCCGACCGTTATCAGAGTTTATCACAATTCCCGACCCTTATATTATTATTTGTTATTCACTTGTTTACCCCAATCTTGACCTGTTAATGTCCCCTATAAATACTCATCCAAAATGGTCATTCATCTTATCTTAATATCTAATTAGAAGTGTTTATGTGAGTTCTGGCCAGACTCTTGTAATTGTCCCCTTTCCCTCTTTTCGCTATGTATATATTTTTATTTGTAAATAGTTAAATGTAAATAAATAATTTAAAGAATATAATTTGAATAATCCTCGAAAGGCTTCGGAACCCAATCCCAACAATTCCAATTGAGCTATTACTTGGTCCTGCAGAACAATCTGTCATGAATTTATAAATTTGATTTACTCGTTAAATGAAGTTATTATTTAGGGTTTATTGTGAAATACTAATTTAATTTTATAAGTTGGATAAAATTCAGACACAAACTACCTTGCTTCTGAATAAAATTTGACGCATATCCAGCTTGATAAGGTGCAGGATAACCAACAACAGCCGGATGAGCAGTATTAACAGTTCCTGTTTGTAAAAATTGTTGCCTGTTAATGTATGAGCCTTCAGATTGTTGCTGCTGATATCCATCTACGGAATGAACGCTCACCGGTTGCTCATGCTGATATGGTACAAACACGGGACCACTCTTTTGTAGTTGTTGTTGCTCATCAATTTGGGATATTGATTTCACTGCCTGTGTTTGAAATTTTTGTTGTGATTGGACTTGTGCATATTGTTGTTGCTAAAATATTTAGAGTATAAATAATCGTATTTTTAAAAATAGACTTTGAACTGCTTATTTTAAATAAATTATTTAATATTATATTATTAAAAATTTCTGCCTGTCTCGATGCAGTTTGACCATATTGTGATTGCATTTGTTGTAAAGTACCATAAACTTGCTGATTTTGTATATTAGAAAATCGATATTGATTAGCTGAAGTTGATTCCGAGGTCGAGAAGCCGGCAACTAAAATATGAATATTGTATCATAGATACTAACTATACATGTTTCACATTTAAATTTTTTAATTTAAATTGTACCAGATTGGTGCGGTGCATTCTGAATTGATGCCTGACTGAGTGCAGAAAGGTTTGCAGGTGGACCTGGACCTTTGAGATTACCCAATTGTGACGCGTTCGGTATATCATAGGGTTGGTTCGTAATATGCAATTGATTATGAACTTGCATGTGCTTTGTCGACTGAATTCCTGGAATTTTTCTAATAAAATACCCAGAGGTTTTAGTTTTTCTGGTTCGAAAACGTGAACCAGAAAAGTTCACTTTTTTGACTTTTTCTTATACCGGCCTAAGTCTAAACATTGGTATAGTATATAACCTTGTGGTTCTAGCTGATGTGAAGTTGAACACTGATCAAGTGCCATAGCCTTTTTGCTCTTTTTTGATCCTCTAGCACCTTTAGTAGATTTTGTATTGGCTGCAGCAGAAATCTTGATTAAAATAAACAGTATACATGTTTTTATCATAATATTACTATGCCCTGTTGAAGCACATTTTGACGCGAAGGGTCTCCTGCCATATAACTGGGATTCATAGTATCAAAAGATCTAACAGGTTGACTCTGCATTTGATAGTTCATCATCTGAGATTGAGGTCCAGAAGACATGAAATCGTTCGTTTGATAACCCTATATTAAGTTAAATTTTTGAAGGATTCAATAATTATCGAATATTTATTTTGACCTATCCACTGATTTAAATATTTTAAATCGCACAGACTTTTGTCATATGGAATTTTATCATTTACTCGATTCGGTATCAAAGGATAGATTAATAATTATAATAATCCATAAACGAACCTGTCCTTGTCCATATTCGCCCACGCCAAAAGGTTGTGCAGGCATTATACCCATACCAGGGAAGGGACGCTGATGATGCTGACCCCTTCCAGCCACTGGAATATTTGCCCCAGCCACACCATACAAATAAGATCCAGAACCACTAGGCCCCATAGCGGAAGCCGAGCTTTCAACTCTCATCTGACTACTTTCATTATCTTGTCCTAAATTTTGCCAATCCATTGTGGATATTTGTGGCACGTAGTTGTCGTAGTCGTCGTCCATAACTTATTGATTTTAGATATTGATTTTAATATTCACTGGCAAATAAGAGATCATTTAAATTTTTAAAACAGTAAATTCAACATTTTATGCTTAAATATTATAAGGAGAAAGCTTTAAAAATCTTAAGGAAAAAAGCGCTTATGACGTTTGTTTGACGGTATGCTGGGTGGTGGTGGCAATCGATTTAGGTAGGATGTTGTCAAGGCGGCGGTATGAAGAGGCAAAAATTTAAACTAGTATTTGATTCGAATTTAAAATTATTTATGCCGAGTTCAATTTATGAAAATATGAAGGTTGTTCAGAAAAGCAAAGTTATGGAAATAAACACGCTAGTTTGTAAAAATTGAGAAGAATTTTATAATTAAGATTTCGATAATGAAGTAAAAAACAAACACTGTATTATGGCAAAACAAAAGATTTTTGAATTTTAAATTATAACCGTATAAGCAAACAGTTTTTTGAATATTGTTAGAATTTTATCATGTCCGCAATTTTTGTCAAATTATCACACCAAACAGTTATTTCATCTATTTTGCCCCTTACATTTACTATTTTAATTCAACAACATTGTTTGTACGTGTATTTTCTACCTTAAGATCAACATTGTGTAAATCAACACTGTCAAAAGCCACCTCCCCCAATGCGTGTAATCTTTTGTTCCAATCAATTTTTAGTTGTCAGTTCGTGTCTTAAACTGTAAATTATGGCGGGGAATGCGAGCGTTTTGTTATGGGGAAAAAGTTCTGCCAACGTATTTCTATAAATATTTGGAGGTCGTCACAAATTAAACATTCACAATCTTCACCGCAATCAAATAGTGCGCACACCAGTATTTCGTTATAGATTTGATTTGTTAGTCATCCTTTCATCTATTAAATAGTTTTTCTTGATGCCATTGTTATAAATTTATTGTTCTAAGATCCTTAATAAATTTCAGCTTTCGAAAGAAAACGATACATCTCATTTATCAACTACAATTCTCTTTAGGTTTAATATAATTTTATCCAAATTTTGTATAATTCGATTAAACAGGCAGCTTAGTAAAAATGTAAGTTTTAGAAATAAAACATTGGGGAAGTTTAAATGTTCAGAAAATTTTAAGGGAAAGAAGTGATGTTAACAGACCCGCAGGTAGAGGTCTTCCACGTAGATCATTTACCGACGATTTCTTTAATGATCCGTTTGACAACTTTAATCCGATATCTCATCCACGTGGATTTCAAAGACGCTTCACGGAAAGGGGTCTGACTTGTTTCATATATTATTCTATCCACCTTAAAAAACTACAGGCCTTTTCGACGATGATGTTGACACTTTCTTTGACAGATTTTCCGGGGAAAGGGAACATCAAATTCCATTTCGCGATGAGCCAAGTCTCTTCCGTTCTTCAATGCCTAGAAGACATTACAAACCACAAACAGATTTTCATGGTAAAAATGAACACAACAGCAGTGTTGAACGTCCAATCCCTATACAGCTTAAAAAAGCAACATCATCGCAGCCTAAATGTTCATCCCCAATTTTAAAGGAAGATGTTTGTTTGAAAAACTCTTAATTAAAATTTTTAAAATAACAGGATGAAATACTCGAGAACGTTCATCGAATTCCTATTCGACAAATGAATTCAGGTGATAATCAAAAGGAACAAAATTTTGAGCCAAAAAATGCGTCCGTGAAATCTGAGCATAATATCCTACCAAATGAAACGCGAATAGGCCTTAATCCAGCAGATAAAAGGCGACGGTTCTCTAATTGTCAACAACAAAATGGTAGTCTTAATTGTTTTTCCAAAAATTTCATATTTAATTTTTGAGAACACAATTATGCTAACAGCAAAAGTCAATTTAAATCCGTTCCGGATATTGTAATTGATGATTACAGTGATAGAATTGAACTGACGAAACCTGTTGCAATTCCATTACCCGCACCAGCCATTCCATTGCCAGCACCTCAGCATAACGCTAAATTGGAAAATGAAAAAGATCCAGATCCGGAGAATTTAAAACGGTCCGAAGTAAATGTCTCAGAGAATGAATTTACTACGGTAGGACAATATAATGCTGAATGTAAAAATGGAGAAGCTGAGACGTCTAATATCCAGATTGTTCCCTTAGCTGATAGTGGCGAAAACTTAATTCAATTACTAGACGATACTGAACGAAAAGTGGAAAAACTTAGGTATGGATATATACATGCTAACAGGAACATTCTTCTATTGTAGAGAGAATGCTACCTCCTTGGAGCAGGAAAAGGAAGCGATTTTAGACATGCTCAAAAATATTAAACTGACGAGTTCTCTTCTAAAATTGAACCACGGTTTATTTTTAGAGCGGGGATTTGGATTTCAAAATTATATCAGGTGACCGAGATGAACTGGCATTGAATGCTGACAGGATTATAAATCGTTGCCGCTCCGTTGAAGTTTGTGTTAATACTCCTCGAGATGAGCATCAGGATCGAGCACTTAAGCTCGTTAATGAAGTAAAATGACTATTTTAAACTTGAAAAACGTTCTAATCTAAGGTCATCTACATAGCATTAAACAAAACAGATGACAAACTAAAAACACAGGCTGAAATTCAGGGATTTTTAAATGCTTGTATGCCTGAAGAAAGTGGTCATATTGGTAAATAACAAATTATAATAACAATTTGTTATTTCTCTTTATAGATGATAAATTTCAATCTCTTATTATTGCCTGTACTGCAGATGACCAAAAGGTACAAACTTTAAATAGGATTAATAAAAAAGATAACCAGAAAAATTACGGAAATTCCCTCAATAATTTTTAATAGCAACATAATTATGACCCTAAGGAAAAATTCAAAAATCGAACTTATAAACTTAACCCTAAGAAAATCCGACGACGACTTGTAAAAATCATGAAAGAATTTGAACAGACTCAGCGACTCCCTCAAACAGATTTAAGCAAATAATATGAGAGTTTAAGGTCTAAAACCCCCATAATCATTCTAACGATAAGCATATTTTTAAACATCCTATAACTCAACCATCGTTAATTATAACTTAAAAACATGTTATTAACATTGTACTACTTAAAAGTAAACTAATAAATTTTTAAATACTTTTTTATAATTTTAAAATACGAGGTAAATAATCAAAAAAATAAAGCAAACGAAAATTGAGATTACCTCTTTTGAAATAATAAAACATAAATTAAAGCATTGCGCATTTCCTCATCAGAAATAAAATTAAAATCGCGTAAAACAGCACAATGGTGCACAAAATTGGAGAATAATCCATAAGTTTTTAAACGTTCACCAAATTCAAAAATAAAGCGCTTCTGTAAAATAAAAAAAACGATTTTAGGATTAAGATAAAAAAATTTACCATCAACACAGGCATTTGATATTGAGCAAGTTCCTTATTAATCGGTTTTCCAATAAATTCATTCCAGTAAACAAAGAAACGCTTTTCTTTGGGCAAGAGATCGGTAATCTGGTTGAAGCGCTATAAAAAAATTTTTTCATAAAAAAATAATAGAATAATAATTGCCTGTTTATAACTATCCCGAATCCATCCTCCATCACAATCAACGCTACAAAGACCCACAGACGAGAACTCAACGTATTTAGATCCGTTAAAAGGTAAAACACCTTTGAAACTTGAATAAATTTTTTTTAAATTTTAAATAATTTATTAAGTTTACCTTATTCCACTATTGACTGGCATAGACACAGTTATATTGTCCCTTACAGAATTAACGGAAGATACAATTGTATGTTTATCATCTACATCCAAATTAGATAATTGTAGAAATGATGAACGCATAAAACGAGCCTTATTTCTGAATTGATTAAGATTAGAAAATAGATGAGCCCATACCTGAAGACTTAATGATCCTAAAGCAAAAGTTGTAGGTCTACAGGGCCTACCCCATTTTAAAACTTTAATTTAAACCTGAAAATTAACATTGGTTTATTTGCTTCATTTTTTCCAAGCTCATTTGTTACATTAGAAGTAGAAAATCTTATAATAAATGAGGGAGCCTGTGCACTTTTCTCTGAATTTTTACTACTTGAACAGTCATTCACATCGTTTTTGGCATCAATATAAAATTTGAAGGTTAATGAGGGATAATTAGTCATCTGAAATATTATCAAAATAATAACCAGGAAAAAGAAAATTAGATTTACTAAATGAAACGCTAAATGCCAGATATGATTAAAACGGCGAGAGCAAATTAAGCATTTGACTGGGGCTTTCCAAGTTTGAGGTAATTGCCTGAGATCAGCTAAGGAGAGTGCAGAATCTTGAATTACACTAGGATTTGAACCGGATATAAAGTAACTGAAATTCAAACGTTAAAATAAGAATTTAATTAATGTTAGGCAGAAGGATTTTGTTCAATAAAGAACTGTGAGATCAAAAGATTCGCAAAAAATTGAGATTTTAAACTGTATAAACGATGACAGAATTATAAAAAAATGTAGATCAAAGAACCAAATAGCATACCGAACTGGTTTATTTGTTTTGTTGTTCAATTTCGTTGAAGATAAAGAACTGAGATTTTTAGCATTCACATTTGACTCATTATTGACGCTTAATTGTGGATTAATTGTTTTCGTCTTAAGTCCAGGGATTAATTTTCTGTCATAAATTGAGCCATAACCATGTTCATTGGAGACTTCCATCGGAAAAAATATTTTTACAAAGGCTCATAGTAAATTTAAAAAAATACCTGCAGTATTGAACAAGAATCTCTAGAAGCTCTCTGAAAAATGATACATATAACATAAATAAAAAAAGATTTAAATTGAAACCTTTGAAGATTCAATATTGATATCCTCAATCATTTGATAATTCAAATTTTTTAAATCAGCAAGTCCACTCATGTCATTTTTATTTATAATTGAGGTACTTAATTAAAATAATTATAATAAATAAATTTAAAAAATTACTTTAGATATATTCCTTTTGAACTGAAAATTGGTGTAAAAACTCTATTGAATTGGTTCAAATTCCCATGTTCATTATTATTCATTGAGGTTTGTTTGTTTATCCATTTCCCAATAAGTCTAGTTCCACGAAGTCTAATTTTAGAATTAATAAGAGTTGGAGGATATGAGGAAGTTTTTGTTTCATCTTGATGTTCTTTGGAAGAATTAGCTAAAATTTAGAAATTAATTTCAGTGTTTAGTTTTTTTAATATAAAAAATAAAAATTTTGTTACCAAACTTTGTTCCAGAATAGCTACTTCGCAACATTCTAATTCTCCTTTGTTGATGTTTTCCAGATTCGGAATTAATTGAAAGATCCATATTCTCATTGTTCTCATCATTGGCCACGTTGCTAGTACCAGAATTATTCATCACGTTAAAATCATCTTCCTCTAATCGCCGTCGTTTAGCCCCGATAAAATCAATTTTTGTTTGATCCACTTTAAATACACACTCGTTACCATTTGGTTGAATATCCAATTGTGTAAATTGATGTAATGTATTGTCGCTTCTTTGACTTTTTAGATCTCGCATTCTTCTCTTCCTTCGTTTTACTCCAATTGGAAAACACGTAAGAGCCTTTGGGCAATTATTTTCTATAATTTGTTGAAAATAATTAACAACCTAAGCATACCATTAATTACGCAGCCATCCACAACCAAAAGAAGTTGATCACAACTATTATAATAAATATCTATTAACAGCAAGAAATTAAAATAAAACCAATTTCCAAGTTCAGGAACCCAAATTTCCAATACTTTATTTTGCCGCTTCTTATCATTTACAAGACTAACGAATGTGAGGAGGTGCTCCTATAAAATTTATAGTAAAGAATAAAAATATAAATTCATACCCAAAAATGCAAACTTCTTTGATCAGAATTGACTCCACAAAGAAAAACGTCAAATTTTGCAGAACAATTACCAACCGAAATGGGTGATATTGTATTAAAAAACTAAAATAAGTTAATAGAGAAGTACAAATTTTAATAAATCAAACCTCAAAGGTAAGAGAATCGCTTGTAAAATGAGTACGTAACACATGTTTGTCAGAACAAGTTGAAGAAGTTACAACGTACGGAATTTGATTGTTTATAAAATTTAACGAACGCAGATGTTTCAATCTAATAACTGCTTGCTCCAATGGTGGTAATTTAACCTGACAATAAGATCTTCTGCGTTTAGACTTTGGTGGTTTGATAGAAACACTTTTTTCATTAAGAGAGGAAACACTTCTGATAAGAAAAATGTTGACTTTTTTTAAATCAATAAACCTGGCAACCGTTTGAGCAACTTTCCGCAAAAATCCCGTTCTGTTATGCCGATAAAACTTCACAACGTCGCGAGCATCCCCTAAAAATAATTATTTACGTTTGGAGAATACTCTAAACAAAACCTGATACAAACGAAGGTGGATTCTCTACATTCTTGTCTTGCTTTTTAACTATTTGTTGCCCACACGTAGGACATTTTTTTATTTTCATTAAACAAAATTTAAAAGCTTGAAGGATATTAACTGTTATGAAATAATAAAAATAAAATAAACGTTAAGACACAAATTTTACAAAAAAAATTATTAAAAGATAAACTTTATTAACAGCAGAAAACTTTTACAATGCAAAACTTCAAATATACTTGTACATGTTGCATATAATTAGTAAATATTCACGATAATTCTTGAAAATTTAAACAAATTCAAAGATACCGACTTTAGAAAATTGGGAACTTGGAGTAAAATTGAAATTCGTTTCTGATTTTTAGAACCAATGAACCGGTACTGCGCGTGTACCATATCGGGAATATGTAGTAGTAACACAATCGCAACGATGGTATCACACAATCGCAACGATGGTATCGATTCTAAAAAGCAGACCACATACATATTAAATCCGACCATGTTCAATATTATGAGGAAAGAAAAGCTAGGGGAAGAGGAAACAAAGTTCAATTTCACCTGATAAATTTCGAAGTTTGCGGGAGTAATCTATAGTTCATAAAAAGTTTTGTAGAATTTTGGAGATATTCTTAAAGTCTGGGATCAATGAATTTTATACATTTATTTAGAAAATAAAAATTGAATAAGCTTTTCCAGTTAAATATTTAATAAAAACCTTAAAAGTAAAAATATATCCGAATTCCTTGACATAGCACATATTCAATTTCCAATTTCGAGCTTATTTGTTTTGCCTATCAAAAACACCGCTTCTAATATTTTCTGGAGGCCCAGCCTCATAACGACGCGGCTGCTGATTGTTAAAATAGCCAACACGTCGAAGATGTGGTGCTGCCCCACCACGTGAATTTCGTCGATGAAAATTATGCATTCGAACTGCAGCAGGACCAAATGTCACTTCATTTGTCATTCGCTAAAATGAATTAGTATTTATTTAATAATTTTATTTTTATGCGTAAAAACAAAAAACCTCTTTCTTCCAATCGATTCTATTGTCTTTCCTGAAAAAATTAAAAAGTTAAAATACAATAAAACATAATTTAATCAAACCCAGCTTCTCGTTCCGTAGCTTCACAAGAAATGTTATCAAAAAATGAACGACTCTTGTCATAGTAAATGTTGTTTTTTGTGGATTTTTCAAGAATTGCAACTGCTTTATCGTTTGTTCCACCATCGATTTCTTGGGTTAACGATTTATCTAGAAAAAGATGGAACAAAAATTATAATACAAAACCTTTTGGAGGCGATTGAAGATCTGACTCTATATCAAGTTCAGCAATATTCTCGATAACTCCATCCACAGATTCAAGGAAATCTTCATTTGCTTTTTCAAAATCAAAATCGCCGTCGTATTTCCTCATGTTACGCCCCTGGTTGTAATAATATTGGGGATGATGTGGCCGATGATCACCACCATAATGACGCTGTTGCTGAGTTACGTGGTGATCTAAAATAAAAATAGAGCTAAATGTAAATTTTTACTGAACCTTGCGCCTGGAATACACGAGGCATGGGCGGTGCTTGTCTCACATTAACATATTTATAAGGTTGACGTTGTCCTTGAATAGTTCCTTGTTGGTAATATTGATGTCGAGCAGACTGGCCAAAATTCCCAGATAATTGTTTTTCATTTGTAGAGGTGTCTCTTTGATGTTGACGTGATTCTATTTGTGCCCCATATTTTTGTGATTGTGGGCTTGATGCCTCAGAATCTGTTAAAATAATGAAATCAGAAAAGCTGAATCATAAAACTAACCTTGAGTGCCTTTACGCTCCTCGTTGGGCACATTAGCTGGCGGCTTTGAAACGGAGATAATCGCTATAAATGATAAAAACCCAATAGAAACCGGAAACATCTAGAAAATTTCGCAAAAACAACCTGGATCATACGTAATATCATCAATATCAGGTGTAGGCTTTGGCGTATCGCAAACTAAAAAAGAAGGAAAATTGATACATTCTCTATTAAATACCTATTAGATCCTTTATATCACTGGCTTTGAATATAATATAATCGTAAACTTCTTTTCGAGCAGGGACAGTGACATTGGCCAATCTGTCTTCCGTACCAAACGATCGAACTGAAAAACTACATTACTTAAAACAATGTTAACAAATTAACCTCTCGATAGTGAAATTGTAGACTCCACAGGATCAACTAAAATATTAAAAATAAAAAAATTTATTGATTTATGTACAAAAAAACCTTTATGCAAAAAACCTTCATATCGAATGTCCAATTGCGAAATCAACGAAATTTTGCTTCCAATGTAAGGAGTAGTCATTTTAATTGATCTAATATAGCTATAAAGTGATTAAAATTGATCCTAGATTCAAAATTAAAAAAACTAAATAATAAAGCTAAGTAAATTTTTCAGAAAAATGATAAATAAAAGGTAAAATAATCAATAAAATCAAAACTCCCTGTGATAGAAACCCTACTACTATTTGCTACATTCATATTTATCGATTTTAAGAAGGCCCCGAAACACCAAGGACTCTAATGTCGTTTTGAAACTCTGTCCTTTTTCAAGTAAATGGAGTATAACAAGTAGAGATAGAAAACGAATGAGATAGTGTGCTAAAAAAAGATAATTCTTTAAAGCTAGAGAAAAATAAAAGTCCAAAAGAATTGGCCGGTTCAGTGCAGAATTCTTAAAGCACGATAACTACGGTAACTGAAACTTTTTAAGAAATTTTTAAAAGTAAAACGTTTTAATAAGGTCGGAAATTCGATAAATAATCAATAAAATCGATTATCCTTACTCAAAACATTTCTAAATACCAACTGACTTAAAATGAGAAAGATCAGATTAGCCAAAATACCAAAGAATAAGTAAATTTTTTAGAAAAATGATAAAAAAGCCAAAAAATCAATACAATCGATACTCCATGTTATCAAAAAATAGTACTATTTGCTACATTCCAAAAAAATAAGCTGCAGGGATCGAAACACACCAGGACTCTACTGTCGTTTTATGAAACTATGTCCTATTTTAAGCAAGATGGGATGTTACAAGTAGATATGGAAAATATGTGAGATAGTGTGATAAAAAGAGATAATTCTTTAAAGTTAGAGAAAAATAATAATACAATTGATTTGGTCGGTTGAGTGCAGAATTCTTAGAGCACGATAACTACGGTAACTGAACTAGTTTAAAAAATTTTTGAAAGTAAAACGTTTTAATAAGAGGGAAAACTCGATAAATAATCAATAAAATCGATTATTCCTTACTCAATAACTTTGCTAAATTCCAACTCACTTAAAATAAGATGGAATCTAGGTTGGCCAAAATACTAGAGACTAAGTAATTTTTTTTAGAAAAATGAAAAACTAAAGGCCAAAATAATCAATACAATCGATACTCCCTGTGATCGAAATCTTACTACTATTTGCAACATTCCAATTTACTTGAAACAGGCTGTAGGGATCGAATTTACGAAGGTCCCGATTAAACACACCAGGACTCTAGTGTCGTTTTATGAAACTCGGTCCTTTTTCAAGTAAATGGATTATAATAAGTAGAGATGGAAAATGTTTGAGATAGTGTGCTAAAAAAAGAGATAATTCACTAAGGTTAGAGAAAAATATTAATACAAAGATTTGGTCGGTTCAGTGCAGAATTCTTAGAGCACGATTACTACGGTAACCGAACCTGTTTAAGGAATTTTTGAAAATAAAACGTTTTAATAAGGTCGAAAATTCGATAAATAATCAATAAAATCGATTATTTCTTACTCAATACATTTTCTAGATTCCAACTTACTTAAAATGAGAAGGAGTCTAGGTTGGTAAAAATACTAATGAATAAGTAAATTTTTACATGCTGTAGTGTTCGAATTTACGAAAGCCCCGATTAAACACACTAGGACTCTAGTGTCGTTTTATGAAACTGTCCACTTTCAAATAACATGGATTATAACAAGTAGTACTAAAAGATAGATAACCAAAATTGATTAAAAGATAGATAACCAAAATTGATTAAAAGATAGTTCCACTAAAATATATACGCAATAAAAGATAGATAACCAAAATTGATTATAAGATAGCTGCACCAAAATATATATGCACTAAAAGATAGATAACCAAAATTGATTAAAAGATAGCTGCACCAAAATATAGATGCACTAAAAGATAGATAACCAAAATTGATTAAAAGATAGATGCATCAAAATTGATTAAAAGATAGTTCCACTAAAATATATATGCACTAAAAGATAGATAACCAAAATTGATTAAAAGATAGCTGCACCAAAATATATATGCACTAAAAGATAGATAACCAAAATTGATTAAAAGATAGCTGCACCAAAATATAGATGCACTAAAAGATAGATAACCAAAATTGATTAAAAGATAGATAACCAAAATTGATTAAAAGATAGTTCCACTAAAATATATATGACTAAAAGATAGATAACAAAATTGATTAAAAGATAGCTGCACCAAAATATATATGCACTAAAAGATAGATAACAAAATTGATTAAAAGATAGCTGCACAAAATATATATGCACTAAAAGATAGATAACAAAATTGATTAAAAGATAGCTGCATCAAAATATAGATGCACTAAAAGATAGATATACAAGATTGCTTAAAAGATAGATGCACTAAAAGATAAATGGGGTAAAATCTATTAGAATATAGACTGCGAAATGGCCGGTTGAGTCTGGACAAAAAATTTAACCATCTGAATCTCTCGCTGGAAAGACTGTTTTTGTGCTGCTACGGAGGGTAGGCCGGGCTGACCTTCTCTACACGATGCCTTGCTTCCTCCGCAGCGGCAGAAACTTTTTCCGCGAGAATACTAAAAAGTTAGATATTTTTCTAAAGTTAGAGAAAAATATTCATATAATAGATTTGGTCGGTTGAATGCAAATATTGAACTTTTGAAAAAAAATATAATCGGTAAAAATTTAACATTTCTCAATAAATTATGTACATACTAGTAAATACATCTAAAAACATTTTGATCATAAAATAGTTAATTATGGTATTAATATCATCTGTACATAAAGATCAGTGTTTGTTCTTGTCTTTTTCCTCGAACACCGGATTTCTAAAAGTATTGTTTGAATTAAAATAAAATTCTAACAAAAATACATTTTGCCCGTATCAACATTTTCGAATTTCGTTCTTCTGCTGCTGTTATCATCGTCAAATGAATCTAATGTTTCAGCATGTTCGTAGACAGGATTTGTAAATGTTGTGGTCATTATATCAGACATTTCTCTACTTTGGGGTAGTTTTAAAGGTGATGAATGGAGTTCCTCTACGAGTGACTAAAAAGAATTTTCAAATTATTAACAGAAGCTTTTCAAATTAGTGAAACTAAGAGGCTGACATGAACTTGCAAATCTTACATTGTCACGTTGTTGTTGTTGAATTTGCCTATCTGCATCAAGTACAGGATTTGAGAAGGATATTACGTTGCCATGAAATGTAACTACCGAAGCACCACCAATTGACGATCCTTCCCCAGAAGCCAATCGCTTCTTGTTGAGTACACTTTTGCGTTTATAAATTAGAATGGAGAGAACAGTCATTACCTTATAATTTGAAGATTTAATAGATTATAAATTAAAATTTACCGCCAAACATACTAACATAGCGAACATTAAAAGTAGCGCGTAATATGCACCATTTCCTGGAATTGGAAATTTTTTTTAAATTAGGGAACAATTTGGTTTAGTTTCCAGGTTTCTGCTAAAGTAATCCCAAATATCCCAAAAAATCTATCAAATTCATACCAAATCTGCCGATCAACTGCCTACTGACAGAAGATGGTTTCTGACAAAATTCCCCTTCAAAATCACCACAATCACATGTTCCATCCAAAAGGCAATGACCACCATTCTGGCAAGAACATTGCTTTGGAATCTATAAGGGGATACAATTTTACTAGCTACATTCGTATAACCAACCGGCAGCTCTTCTATTCGAGCAGATCCACACGTGCCATCCTAAAATTGATTTATTAATAAGCTCCAGATTAAAAGTTTTAAACCTCAAATTGTGTAACTCCATCAGGACAAAGACATCTAAAGCCATCTGAAGGGAGTTCAACACAAAGATGTGAACATTGAACTTTTGCACAGGCACTATCTGCTCGAAGCATATCTCTAGCGAATCTAATAAAGAAAGTCGGTCATTTTTAAAGGTGAAAGTTTAATCTAACCTTTGTTGTATCCTTAATGAGTGAACATCGTCTATGGCACTAGCAACAAGTTGGAGTCGACTTCTACCAAACTTGTCTTGAATATACAAATTCTGCGAATCTTTGGATACTTGAAAATTAAAATTAAGATTAGAAGATTTCAAGTTTTCTAAATTAAACCTGAAGTCCCTGCATTTATCGGCTTTCCAGATGTCCAAAAGAGATGATTTTCAAAAACATCGATAGCCCATGGAGTCCTTGTGTCTCGAGCAACTGAAATAAATTTATTATTTGAGTAAAATTTATATTTTAAAGTCACTCACTTGTTAGCCTACGTGAACCATCGGGAAGGCAAGAGTCCACCTTAAAAAATTAATAAAAGTGAATTAAATAAAAAACGGATAGCATACCTTGTGGTATTTGGGATCGCTCCAATAAATTCGATTATCACCTTAAATGGATTAAGGAATTAAAATATTCAATTTTTTCTTACGTCCTTCATCAACAGCCATAGTTGTTGGTGAATAAATGAGATCGCTAATGATTGTCTAAATTTAATAGATTATAAGGCAAACCAGAAACACACTTAACCTGTCTTTTATTTCCATCCATATCAGCACATTGAATCTTTGCCTCAAACCCTGCATCAGCAAAGCAAATACGTCCCAATTTTGGTAAAGTAACAATTGCTGTTGGTATTTGCAAACGTCCAGCAACGATCTTATATAAATATTTTTTAAAAATGAAAAAAATCAATTTTAAACCTTTAGACCCTGAAGACCTAAAACATTTGAAAGGGAACATAAAAAGGGAATATCTAGGGGTTGGGGAGATTAAGGGGATATCGACGGATTAACTTAAATGTGGTTGAAAAGGATAGTTTTCCACTCATTCAGAATTATGGTATAGGTCTTCGGGATATAAGTCTTCGTGGATGACCCCAATATCAAAAATAAACTAGAAAAAAAAACCGTTCGTCTATATCTGCCATCCGATGTTGTAACATAAATTACTCCATTTCCATCTGATGATGGTTGAGGGAGGGGTTCACTAAAACGCTTTTTTCTTCGACCAGCTGCTGTTGCAAGTGCTGATTTTTCGTTCAATTTAAGATCGCTAACAGTGGCAGTTATGTATAAATTTCTGAGGAAAATTAAGTTATTATTTAAATAAAATTAAAAACCCTGTCAAGTAATCCACAGCCATACTCAGAGGTGAAATGTTTTCCCCAAAGTTGACCAACAATTCTTGACCCTCATGCTAAAATTTGAAAGATTTTAAATATCTTTTTGTTTAAATTAATACCGATTGATTGCCTTTAGGGAGAGCCGAACGGAACAATTTCTAAAAATATTTTTTAGTTTTATTAAATAGATTAAATGTTAAAATATATACTCGTTGATATGTATCCAACCAGAACATCTTAAATTGAAAATATGAGAAGTTTTTAGATGAATGACGGGATACGCATAAAAACTCAATAGAACTTACAAATTCCCGTCTAGGATCAAACTCAATGGCGCCAATACTTTGCTGTTGATTTGATGGAGATTTACGAGTGGCTGCGTTAACACGTCCACGAGAACCGACCAGGCTTAACTGAAAAAAATGTTTAGAAAATGGATAAGGCAATTCTTAGTTAACCTGAAGAACTTTGTCATCTGAAGCAATCATAATAAGTGGGTGCTGAAAATAGATTTTATAAAAATTTAAAAAATATTTCTTTAAATTTGTATACTTCTCCATTAGCACGACAATCCTTTCCATTCATAGCGCCTATAACAACACCAGAAGTGTAATCATCCACGCATTTACACAAGTATGACCCCTTTAAATTTAAAACTAACCTTCTCAGAAATTCTTAAAATAAACCTTTGTATTCAAACACATTTGAGAACAAGTATTGTTTCCTTTGCATTCATCAATATCAATACAATCAGAAGGATTTCCAGGATCTTAAAAAAATTTTTTCAAATAAAAATTGAATTAAAAAAACCTGTAGTAAAACCATCTCGACAATGGCAATAATATCCATCTAAATTTAAATAAAAGCGCTTCAAAGCTTTTGGAAAATCCAAGCATACCCTGTACATCAGTACAAAGATGTCGACATCCACCATTATCAGAATGTGAGTGGCAACTTTTCCCGTTTTGTTTAATACAGCCAATCTCATCAGTAGCATCACCACAATCTTTAAAATATTTAATTTTTATCGGAATCTAAATTTAAGAATTTCTCAATTTCTTTACCATCTTTCCTGTCACACGCCAACGTTGCATTAATACATTTGCCGTTGGTGCATTTGAATTCATCGGTCGAACAATCGCCATATTCGGAGAAGGAAGAACACATGGCTATTAAATTAAAAGATTATATTTAAAATTCAGAAAAAACTTACAAAGATGTTCGTCAGAGTAATCATGTTCTCCACAATCATTAAAACTAAAACGGAAATGAAATCAAGATAAGGATTAAATTCAAAAATTAATTAATAAAATAATAACCCATTGCAGAGTTGAAGGATGTTCAAGCAAAGCTTTGAATGAGAACAACGAAAACGTAGAGGTGGATCACATTGCGCAACTTTACATTGTTCATTAGTTTCATCCGAATTGTCACCACAATCTTGTGAAAAATTTGTAAAAATTCAAAAAAAAAATTCTTGAAAATATTTACCGTTATCCCCATCACACATAAATTTGCGCGAGATGCAAACGCTGTTAGCACATTCTGAAAAATTTAAAAATTAAATGACAAAAATTAGAAAGTCTTTACCATATTCATTAGGTGAACAATGCCTTCTATTAGGCTATAATTATTTTAAAAAATAAAAAAAAACGATTCTTATAAGTAAATGTCCTTACATAATCTTCACAGTGAGTCTCATCAGAAGCATTTACACAATCACGCCTAATTTTCAAGAAAAATTATAAACCGAAAAAATAATTATTATAACCTTCTATCACACCATTTATGTTCAAGAATACATGTCCCATCGTCTGAAAGTTTTCACAAAATTTAATTTTTAATAAGTTTAAATGAATAAAAAACCGCATTTCCGATATCCATCTGCGCACTTTCTAAGTGTACATTGAGATTCGTCCAAGCCATCGCTGCACTGGATAGTTCCATCACATACTTTAGAGTGCGGAATGCAACGGCCCTCTTAAAAATAAAATTTAAATCTAGAAAATATCAAAAAAATTACCGTTACAACGAAATTCTGATTCAGAACAAGGACGTGAGGTACCTTATTATTGAATAAATTTACTGTCTATCAAAAAACGGAAATTTTCACCTCCACATTGTTCATCAATCTCGTCTGAGTTGTCAACACAATCTTAAATTTTTTAAAATTATTTTACAAAATATTTAAAACCCCCTACCATTTTCGCTGTCACACATCCAACGCTTAGGAATACACTTTCCAGAACCAACACACTTAAATTCTCCCTGTTCTTCACACGCCGGACAGCGAGAAGGTAATTCATCAGAACTAGTCAGAAAAATGATTTAAGAACTTTTAAAAAGAATTTACCCATCTCTGCAGTCATCCTGCCCGTTACAAAAAGCCCAATCAGGTACACAACGATAAGAGTTTAGACAACGAGACCAGCCACGCGGGCATTCTACTTTGTCACATTCAGGTTTTGGTTCGTCACTTCCATCACCGCAATCATCTTTAAAGATTAAGTGAATCAAAAGGAAATGTGCTCTTACCCTCGCTGTCACATTTCCAACTTTTAGGTATACATTTATGATTGGAGCAGCGGAATTCCTACAAGAATAAAAAAACATAAAGAACTTAGGAGATCGTGGTAAAAATCTCTAGACATCTCAAAATATCAGAAAGTCAAAAAAAAACCTCAGCGGTACAGTTTCTCGAGGAATTCTTGCAAATATGTTCAGCCTCATCGCTTCTATCACCACAATCGTCTGTTTTTCAAATAAATAGTTAATGAAAATAATTTTTTAATCAACCGTCTCCATCACATGTGAAACCCTTGGGAATACATTTTCCAGTATTTGAGCATTTAAACATCCAATCATCACAAGGCTTATCCTGAAAATATGAATGATTAAGATTGAGAGTAATTCTAAAACTTAAACTTACACAATCTCGCTCATCACTCCCATCACCACAATCATCTGTAAATAGAGTAAATTTGGTTGAAAAGATAGATAAAAAATTTGCCTTGTCCATCACACATTTGGAATGGTCGAGTGCTGTAAATGTACAAGATCAGTTACAGATTTAAAAAAAATTTTCCAAACCAATTATGATTAGAGCATTGAAATTCACCAACTGGACAAATGCGATCGCCTTAAAAATCGGAAATAAAATTTCATCCCAAATAAAAATTTCTAAAAAATAACCACAAACATCCCGTCCAGGCTCATCATCTCCATCGGTACAGTCCTTAAAAAAGAAACAAAATATTCTTTGAACTTATAAAATAACCTTTTCGCCGTCACAATACCACAGCTTTGAGATACATTTAGAATCTGTCCCAGAGCAAGCAAATTGCCGCGACGTGCTATTTTAAAGAACCAGAATTTCGATTTAAAAAAGATTCATTACCAATTTGCTTCGCAGTCACGGCCATTGGAGAGCAAGTAAAACTGGTCTGGACAGGCACATGAAAAGTTACTTCCACCGGCCCCAATAAGGCAGAGATGTGAACAGCCTCCGTTGTTATCACCGCAAGGATTCGGCCAACGTGGCTATAAATTTTTAGAAATATATTAAAATTTGAATAATTAAAAACCTGTCTTAGTGGGTGAACAACACGAAGTTCATTAGGTAATTGCAAGGTAGTAACTGGATAATATTAATAAAAAATTTCTTGGCAATTATAAAATTAACCTAAGACACTTTCATTATTTGCTGTCCATTTATCAGCTCGAATAACTTGTTTCAAATTCCAATCACTCCAAAACAAATATTCGTTATAGACAGTAATAGAGGCGACATGCGAGGTGAGTTTTGCTGGAATTCTGTGCCGGCGGTGAATGCCATCCTGAAGGTCCATCCAGTTAAGTTCGTTAAGGTGGGCGTCCCCCCAGAAAAGACGATCGGAATAATAATCGATGGCTAGGGCATTAGGCCAGCCCAAATCACGTTCAGCGATTTTAATAACTGGATCCGCAGTTCCATATGGCGCTGAACCATCCAAAGCGACTTTAGCAATGTACGGCTGGAGCGACCTGTAAATATGAGATAATTTCAAGAGTGTTATAAAATTAACAGACCATTCAGTGAAGTAAAGATAACCACGTTTTGGATGTACAACAATTGCCTAAAGAAAATTTTGGAAAAGAAAATTTTAGTAACTTTTCACCTTTGGCTGTGAAATTCTGTCTCGAATCAGTGTGCGACAAAATCGACCGTCCAACTCGCAAACACGCAAAGCTCGGTCCTGCCTGTTCAAACTGTACAATTTACGACCAATCCAATCAACCGCAATTCCCTCTATTCCAAATACATTGTGGCGCATTATTTGCTCATAACTGCTGGGTGCTTCACTTAATTTATGAAGTGATTTACGATAAATACGCAATTTTCCAGAGTCTTAAGAAAAAGAAAAATTAATCTTCAGTCAGAATAGAACAAAGCAAACCGAGTAAATAGACCATATCATCAACTGAGTCAACATCCATTGAAACAAGATTTTCAAATCCTTGAGCTACAAGCTCATAGCGAGATCCATCTTTAAGAATGTGAAGGGTATGTTTGAATCATTCTAATAAAATTAAAACCTAGTGAAATGAATCGAACATAGTGCTTGTTGGCCAAAAGCAGATAAGGATCCGGCTTCTAAAATACATAGAACAGAATCTCTTGAAAAATTTAATACCTCTTCATTCGCTTTACAAGTAAACCCGTCTTTATTCAATGTCATCCCTTCAGGGCAAGAGCATTTGTAACTTCCTTGCTTGTTTTCACAAAAGTGGGAACAAAGCGAGAGTCCTTCTTAAAATTAGAAAAGAAAAATTTCAACTAAATTTTCAACAAACCCAAGCATTCATCTATATCTAAGCAGGATTTGTTATCTGCCCGATTTATTTGGAATCCATTTTCACAAGAGCATTTGTAGCCAATAACTTGGTCAACGCAAGTTTGTTCACAAAGTGGATGTTCTTTTTGTTCGCATTCGTTGACAACTGAAAAAAAGTCAATCTAAATTCCAACCCGAATTCATAAGAAAAAACACCCACAGCAACTAGGACTTTCATCAGAGCGATCAGAACAATCATAGTTGTTATCACACACTTTTTGTTTTTCAATACACTGTCCGTTTTGGCACTCGAACTGGGAAGCTCCACAATTTAGAGCTCCAGAGAGTAAAGAGGTTGCCGCAAGTCCAGTAATGTTGTGGGAGGAAATCTCTTCTGTTGAACATTGTTTTTCATCACTTCCGTCATCACAGTCGGCTGTAAATAATTTTTCGTTTTTTTTCCAAATTTTAGAAAATTTAAGAAACTCACAATTTCCATCACAGCGCCAAGCTGTTGATATATTAATTAATAAATTATTGATAAGTAGCCAAAAAATTAAACTCACAGTTTGGAATGCACTGAAATTAAAAAAATTAAATCATTAAATCAAATTTAAAGTTTAAAGAAAGGAAGAATTGAGTCCACCCCAAAAGACCTAAACCCAGAAGACCTACAACCAGAAGACCTACAACAAAAAGACCTACTCACAAAAGACCTACGCCCAAAAGACCTACACCCAAAAGACCTACTCTCAAAAGACCTATTCCCAAAAGATCTACGCCCAAAAGACCTACAAATCTTCGAAGCGAATATCGTAGGATTTGAGGGATTAAGCCTCTGGGTGTAGGTTTTTTGGGTTGACCCCGAAGAGTCAATCGACTTCTTGATTTTCAAAAATTAAAAACACACCTTATGATTCTTGCACTGCCACAGCCCCGGCTGGCACGATTGATACGCTATTATTGTGAAAAAATTATAAAATCACTTTCTAATTTACTCACTGCAATTTGCGTGTTCATCTGACCCATCAAGACAATCCTATAGAATAAAATAGTTTTAAAATTTACCTAGCTTAGGCTTACATTATCGCCATCACAAACCCAAGCTATAATTTAAAGAAAATTTTAGAAAACATATTATGTAATAGAGGTGAATCGGAAATGACGAAGGTGCCGGAAATCGGAACTGTCGGAAATGGCTCAAAAGTCGGAACTCGGAAATCAGCCGAAATTTTCGGAATTCCTATTCACCTCTGTTATGTAATAACTCACATGCGTGTATACAATTATTGTTTGAGCAACGGAATTCACCTGAAAATAGTAATAAATCGAAGAGGTCGGATATTAATCATCTGCTTAGTCTCTTACCCTTGTTACAAGCTTTCTTGGCCACACCACAGAGAGCCTCACTTTCGTCTTCACCTCCAACACAAGTAACATCTCCATCACATAACCACGTCTTTGGAATACACTCGTACTTAGGTTGAGCCAAATGTTTGTTGGATTTGCAGTTAAACTTAAAAAATTTTCAATTAAAAAGCGAATAAAAGGTAAAATCCTCACCTCATCCTCCATGCAAGTTCTGTTTCCACAGCTCTAAAACATTTTATTTTTCAATTAAAAATTAATTTTCTCGCTTACATGAGCAGTTGATTCATCACTTCCATCACCACAATCATCTAACAAAAGAATTAAAAAATAAAAATTTAATGATTAGCACCTTCGCCATCACAAATAAAAGCACGTGAAATACATTTGGAGTTGTCACATTGGAATAAATATTTGCCAACACAAACACGTTTGCCATTGGTATCAGTACAGTTTGTGGAAGTCTGAAATAAAATATTTTAAGCCAATTTAAAAAATTGGTTACTTCGTCCCATCCTCCATCAGCACAGTCTACATCCCCATCACAAACCCTTTAAAATTAAATAAAAGCGAATCTCTTTTTCCGGAAGCTTACCAAGTTTCCGGAATGCATCGACCAGACGGACAACGGGCATAATGTTGTGAACAAGGCTGATTTAAACAAAACAAGGATTGCTCATCAGACTTTAAAATTTTAATTTAAAAATCAAAACTGATAAAAAAACAGTAAGATCCTACCAAGTCTCCACAATCATCTGAAAAAAATTTACTTAATATAGGAAAAAAAAGTTTAAGAATTACCATATCCGTCGCACAAATCGGAGGGCTAGAATAAAAATAATTATATTACATAATGCCATACAAAAATCCTAATCAGATTTTTGAATACCTGAATGCAGACGTTAGTCTTTGGACATTTGATACGGACACCTCGACAATCAATGGGTAATCCAGGACAGGTCTTGCTATTTTCGTCGGAGACCTTAAACAAAAAATTTTGATAATAAGTCCATCCATCAAGCTTTACATTTTCATCCTGACAATCAATATGACCATCACAAACACGGCTTTGATTAATACAATGGCCGTTTGTACAGGCAAAAGCCCCAGGCGGGCATACAGTAGTAGTGGGTGAACCGGATCCGCTGCTTCCTGGACGGCTACCCGGTTTGAAGTTGCCGCAATCGAGTTCGTCAGAATGATCACCACAATCGTTAACGCCATTGCAACGTCCAGATTCTTGAATACAACGTCGATTTGCACACAAGTAATAGTCTTCTGGACAGAAACGTACGACTAAAATGTTGAGGGAAAGTAGTGAAATACGGTAAAAATATGGTCAAAACATACAGCAATAACTGGGTGATTCATCGGATGAATCAGCACCTAAAATAGGGAAATTATACAAATACAAAGAGTATACGAACAGTCCATCTTTCCATCACAAGTTCTGTCCAAAGCAATACAACTACCATCAGCAACACATTGGAAATTATAAGGACCCTCGCAGCTTCCACCAGATTTTGTTCCAGAAGCTGCATCATTTGGTGCGCATTGAGTAGCTATATCCTCACCAGGTTGTTTCACTATATGGAATGTATCGTTACAAGCGCATTGAACACGATGCGCGGATATAGTTCCTCCTGCTCCACCACCAAGTTCAAGATCATCGGCAGCCACAACGTGGCATATCTGCTCACAGCCTCCATTATTTTTCGCACATGCATGGGCTGTTCTTTCGCTACACCACTGATTTCTTGTTCGAATGTCTGCCTCAGAGGCAAAAACTCGCAGTGTTCCAGGGCTGTAATAATTTTTAATTTTGAAATAAAAATATTTTGTTTGCCTTCTATGGTCTGCCACAACATTCTCATAGGAATTCCCAGTAAATTTATTCATTCGGAAAATTCCGTTTGAAAGTGGATCACTCATGTAAAGCCAATTCTGCCAGATATCCAAAGATTTTGCCCGAAAACCAATTCCAATCAAGCGTCGGTTGTTTCCATCGTAGTCGATTGATTCAATGCTCTAAAATAATCATACAATTTTGGGAACAATTTTTATTCAAACCAAGCGGTTCACATCAGCCCAATATAGCCTCTGCTCGCGTGAGTCTACAGCCAATGTTGCGGCAAGACTTAAATCCTCGCGAACCAAAACACGACGTTGACCACCAGCCATATTTGCCCGTTCAATCCTGGGTTCATAAGAACCCCCTGACACTTTGTAACCACTGTCAGACCAAAAAAGTAGTCCTGAACAAGGATCCAAAGCCATAGCATATGTCCAGTCCCCGGTAGCAATTGTCATAATGTGATTGCCGTTAATATCGTAAGCGTAAACTTTGCCGCTTCTTCCAGTAGTCCAATAGACCTTTTGTGTAAACCAATCCAAACGCATATCAGATATATGCCGATTTGCTTCCTTAAGTTCAGGTGTTCGTAGACGCTCAGCATTAATTATTTGTCTGAGTTGTTTCGGCTGACTTATTGAAAACCAACTAATGTTTGCTCCACTAGGTGATTCGGTGACAAAGAAGATACGACGCAAATTTACGTCAACATCAAATTGTTGAATGTTAGGCATTGGTGGGAAAGCGTCACGTAATGGGGAAGAAGCTTTAATGTCTGGAACAAGAGTTGCATCTACAATTCGGTCACCATCAATGAACATAAGGAAAGAATCGGGTTCTAAAATTCCAAAAATTATGTTAGAAAATTAAAAAACTAGCCTTCACAAATTCGCCCTTTCGGAACACCTTTAGCACATGCACAATTTGGAGATGACGAGCCTGGAAGTGCGAAGCAAAGCTGAGGGCAGCTTAACAAAAAAGAAATGTACTACATTAAACAATTATTAAAATTACGGTGACTTTCGCAAGCTTTCACTTATGTGGCATGGCGAGTTTGATTTTGGTTGGGCAAGGGGATCGAAAGCAGACAAATCCGAAAGTTCTGGTAAATCGCCAATCATTGTACTTGGAGAAAGTAGAAGTGAACTTTGGTTTGGTTTACTGGAAGATGGAAAAATTAAGAAGGTCGTAAAATTTTAAACACCTTGTTGAGGCAAAAACTTTTTCAAGTCGTCGGTCCGTCCAATACATCTTAAGTAAAAGATTGAGTAAGGATATATCAAACAAAACAATTACATTTTGGCCAACAATTGCAATTCCAGTTGCTTCTGCAATGTCTGAACGAACCAATTCCGGCTTCAATTCACTGTTTCCATCAGTTGTGTGAAGGGCCATAGGATTTACCCGGAAAATTCCATCCATGCCAGCGTCAGTCCAATACAAGTAATGGCTATTTTAGAAGGGAAATTACTCGAAGGTATTTACTCATTACCTATTAGGATCGACGATCAAATCAGTCGGTTCTTTCAGCTCAGTATGGACTATTACTTGTTTGTGAGTCCCATCTAGCCATGCTCTTTGGATGGTTGGAGTTTGTCCCTGATCAGCCCAATAGATGTAGCGTGCTAAAAATTTTTTTGCTTAAAACTTCGAGAGGAGAGACAAACCAATCGGGTCTATAGCTAAAGAAGTAGGAGTTTCAGTTCGAGTTGTTAACAAAATCTTGCGATTTTCTCCATTAAGCTGAGCCACCTCTATGTTCGATCGATCCGAGTCGGCGTTCACAAAATAGAGGTTGGCTAGGATTTTCAAAATTAAAAAAAAGATACAAATACAAGCTCACAATTAACCCAATCAACTGCAACACTTTTAATTGTAAAGCCGCCAAAATTATTTTTTATGATCAATCGACTTTCAGATTCACCCAAAACAAGCCGGGAAATGCCTTTATTTAGTCCAGCCGCATCTACCCAAAAGATGGATTTTGAATCGTAGTGGAAGTCAAGCTGTGAAAAGGATTTTATAAAAGATTTTTAAGTTAATTTATACGCTTGTTATAGTAGTTCCAGCCAATGGATCGAAGGCAGTGACTTTAGAACGAAGTGGATCCGTTCTAAAATAATCAAGATAAGTCTACATAGAGACTTTAGTTAATGGAACATACGGAATAGACTTGATGTAATTTTTCCCAGCAATTATGAGGAAGGATTCTGCGAAGAGTTTGCATTTGTTAGTCTCCTCATCCACAGCAAAACCAGTTCCACAAATACATGTAAACTTATTTTGCTGGCCTCTAGGGATACAGAGTTGCTCACAATTTCCATTATTGTTATGGCAAGGATGTGCCTCTCGAGTATTTGCTGGGTGAACAACATGCATATTAGTTAAATGCTCAACATTTGCTCTAAATTCAGTAAACTCAGGTGGTTGATCGTCACCACTTCCAGTGTCCACATCACCCACCATAATTTTATCGAATGCTGTATCAGCATAATAGATGTGATTGTGGAAGAATGCGATAGCTCGTGGTTGCTTTGCAGCATCATTAAGAATGTAGCGTTTGTCTTGTCCGCTATAAGAGACACTCGTAATCTGTAATTGAAATTTCTTTGAAGTTCCATTAAAATATTTCCAACCCTTCCAGCTTTAGCCTCAGTAAAATAAATTCGTCGATTTACAGTATCCAGCGCAAGATGATCCAATTCAGCAAGGTCAGTGCTAACCAGAACTAAAGGGTTGTTTCCATCCAAGTCTGCACCAGCTAATTTAGTGGAAACACCTCCCTTGCCTTGATCCAACCAAAATAGTAACCCGCGGTCAGAATCAACAGCAATAGCAACTGGATTCGAAACGGCGGTCGGTGACTGATCGTTGTGCAAAATGACGGCGTGGAACTAAAGGGAATGTTCATTTTTGTAATTTTTAATGATAAGTGTATTCCCTTCTACTCCCCTTCCTTCAATGAATTCATGTAAAATTCACTTGTTCTCCCTGTGTTCGAACAACTTCAATTGTCTGTGAATGTTTTTTGCCGACATAAATGTTTCGACCATTCCAATCATAAGCCATACAAGAAGGATCATCAGGCGGTTGATTAGCGAGAATAAGAGAGCGGTTGTTGCTCGTTAGGCTTGCTGAAAGATATAACATTTAACGCTTGTTTAAGTCCAAAAATTTGCCAAAATTTAACCCTACTTTTATGGATCATTGAGCTTGAAATGAGAGTTGCTGTCATTAAAAGCACAGGTGCACCATGTTCTAGATAGAAAAGTTCGTTGGTCAAAGGGTCGTATTCAGCATCCTAATGAAGAAGATATTAGATTTAAGATCGCTTATAATGATTACGTCAGTATTCCTAAGCCCGCTGATTGGCACAATTCCTCCAATTTCATGTGGCAAATGTTTTTTATTTGAACTTTCTCCCTCGTTGTTTAGAGCTGCTCCAACGACCATTGATTTGTGTACCTGATCAAATTTAAGATATCTCAATCAATCCTGATAATCTCACTAACCAATAGCATAAATGGCCGTTTATCAAGTACACATTGTCGTCCACCTCCACCTTCTTCAATGACATGACCACTTGGACAGAGGCATGTGAATGTACCATTAGCACCCAATGCACAAATATGGGAGCACCCGGATGTAGAACATGGGTTTTCTTTTATTTGTGGTTGCAAAACTGGATGAATAGCTATAACACCCAAAGCCTTGGAGAAGGAATGTGAAGGATATTCCCGACTCGTTCCATTCGGATATTTGGGATAAAGCTGAAGCCGTTGAAGTCGACGATCGCTATAGTAAATATGGTCTTCGAATATAGACATTGCATGAGGATGTTGTATAAGCTTGGTCGAAGCGAGAACTTGAACGCGTCCTGAATATTTTGGTAATTAGTCTAGCATTTATAAATTCTCCACCTTTTCCATCATAATCGACAAATTCAATGTAATCCAGCTTGGAGTCGGCAAAATACACACGGCTAGAAAAGGATAATTCTATGAACATTGCATCAGTTTCTTGATTACCTGACAGTGTAATCGAGTGCTATGGCATTAGGCCAGTAAATTTTTGTATCGACCAAAACAACCCGATTAGATCCATCCATGTTAGCACGCTAAAAATTCAATCTAGTTAGGATTTATTACTAAAAATTGCCTCTATGCGAGGATGTTGTCCCCAGTCAGTCCAGAACATTAAAGCAACTCTGTTTGAATTTATATTTTAAATAATACAAGTGTGATAGAATCACCTTGGATCCACAGCCAGACCTCGTGGCTGATCAATTCCTTCGTGGAGAAGAATAGACCGGACTAAATTTTTTAAAAAATTTTTTCAATTTTCTAATAGAAAAACTTGCCTCCAGGCTTTTCCAGACTTGCAATTTCAATAGTATTAAGAGAAGAATCAACCCAATAAAGGTTTCTGCCGACCCAATCGACGGCAATACCTTCAGTAATGTCCAAGCCCTGCCCAATAAAAACTTGAACGTCTGTTCCATTCCGAGTGGCACTGTAGATTTTCTTATCGCGGATATCCGACCAATATATACGATCCTGAACTGAATCCCAAGCGATAGCAACGGCATTCTCGACCTGCGCTGCAAAAGTTCGCCAGTTCTCTAATGAGCTATCAGACCAGTATATGCCTAAATCGTTATATTCAGGATTAGTTCAATAGCATACGATTTCTGTTTGAAACATAAACACGCATGTCCTCACGATTCTGTGCAACCTTGCAGGTATGCTTATCTGCCGAAAGAACGTAATCAGTATCACAAGTACATGTAAACCCATGTTTTTCATCAGTACAGTGTTGTGAACTGAATGATAATAAATTGTTAAATACAATCCAATGTTCGTTCAGAAGTTACCATGAACGAGGATCGAGGCATTCATTTTCAGGTTCACACCTCGTTTTATTAACAAGTTGTTCTCCGAGAGGACAAGAGCAAATAGGTCCATCAGGCGAGTTGTGACATTTATATTGACATCCTGCTCGATCAGCAGAGCACAAGTCTAAATAAAAGAATGAAACACTTAAACAAGTCGAGAAACGGCCACCTCTTGAACATCGTCCACCTTCATCAGATCCATCAACACAATGAGGCTTTCCGTCACAAAGATCTTTAAAAATGCATGAAAATTAGAAAACGAGGTCTAAGTTACTTGAATAATGAATGCATTGTTCAGGAGCATTACGGCAAGAAACCTAATATTTTTAATAGGCAAAAAACGCTAGAAACTAAATTATTTACGGTATCGAAGGGGCATTTGTAAAGAAATTGCGAAGCACTGTTTGGGCATGTTTGCTCATCAGAATTGTCCCCACAATCATTTACAGAGTCACATACCCAAGTCTAACAAATTTTTTATGAATTTTGGAGGAAAATTTATTTACCGAAAAAATGCAACGTCCATTTGTGCAACGGAAATGATCTTTAGGGCATGTAACATGTTGAAGTTGGCAAGTTTCACGTGGTTCATCGCTTGCATCATCACAGTCTTCTTGTCTAATAATTTCATTATTTATGGGAAAGAATTAAAATTATTCACCCATCACATTTCCATGCCGCGGGAATACAAATACCGGAAGTAACACATTTAAACTGGTCAGCAGCACAATTGCCTTCACGTGGCAAACAACTTTCCTCATCCCTTAAAAGTTACAGCAACGATTTTCTGGAAATCTAAAAATAACTAACGAAGCATCGTTGCAATCATCTTGGGAATCGCAATGATTTCTAAAGGGAAAATAGTTAAGTTAGCAAGAAAATTTTTAGAAGAGTACGCTAATGGTATGCATTGCCGACCACTCGCACATCGAAACTGATCTGGCCGACATTGTACTGGAGGACAACGTTCCGGATCTTCATCAGTTGCATCATAACAATCCTGAATGTAAAGAAAAGCCTAGAAAATTTTCTTAAAAATTCCAAACATTATCCCCATCGCAAAGCCAATAAACAGGAATACAGCGACCATTCGCGCAAGTAAATTGATTAGAGGAACAAGTGGCGTTGTGGCAAAGTTCGAGCTTTTCGTCACTCCCGTCTCCGCAATCATCTTTAAAATTAATTAGAGGGTAGGAAAAAGTATGGTTTGACACTCACTATCGGAGTCGCACCGCCATTGTTCGGGAACACACCTATTATTGTCACACTGGAACTTTTTGGCACCGCATTGTGGACGTTGGCCATCTTTACAAAAGCGTTGATCTTCCTAGATAAACAAGCGTTACAAGTCATTAAATAAAAAATCTAACATCAGAAAAATCTCCACAATCATTATCCCCATCACAAGCATACTGAACTGGAATACACTTCTTGGTGTTATTACAACGAATTGTTGCTTCTGGACATTCCACTTCTTTGAAACAGGAATGCCCGTTTTCATCTTGTTCGTCTGAACCATCAAGACAATCATCTATTTATAACGAAATAAGATTATTTATTAAATGTTAATACACCTTCTGAATCACACCGCCATTCCAAAGGAATACAACGCCCTAAAATTGCCAAAATTATTTATAACATTTCAGTAAAAACAACCGTTAGCGCATTGGAATTGTAGAGCAAGTTCATTTTTCTAAATTAGAATTAAGTCTTAAAGTTTGAAAAACCGTTTCCACTATTAATTATACTTGAAAATAGGGCAGCAACCCAGCCCTTCGGGGTCGTAAGTGTCGGGGATCGGGGTTTGTCGAGGTAGAGTCTTTGGGACAGAAGTCGGGGGTTTCGGGTTGCCTCATTGTTTGGAGTAATTTTCTACCCTAGTTGTAAACATGTCTAACCTGTGAACCATTTCGAGGGCAAAGAGGTTCAATCGGTTCAAGAATATCGCGAATACAAGCCAATTCATTGTTTGGATTAACCTTGTATCCTGTTAAAAATATTTCTCAAAAAAAATGATTTTGAAATTATCCACCATGTTTACATCCACATTTTTTAGTCAAAGGCATTGAATGATCATCACTAGGTAATGCAAAGCAAAAATGAGCGCAATTATGCTCCTGACAAGGATGTTTAAGATGGTCTTTAATTATGAACATTTTTTGTTAACTAACGTGCTTATTAGACACCTGGATATTTATGACTAGGATCGGAAGCAGGTTGATTCTGTGTAGAACAACCTTTTATTGAGAAGATACTCCTTTCCTCTCCACTGAAAATTTTGAAACATAATTTAAGTTAATTTGTCCAATTCTTGCCTGAAGTCACGAACAATGCGTCCAACGCCTCCGAAATTCTTGGAGACACGGCGAATGGAGTAAGGTCTTTGATGAACATAATAAATTTGGTCTCCAAGGAAAGTAATAGCCACAGGAAGGGGGTCTTCCACAGGCAAAACGGCCCAGTTTTGTCCATCAAAATCCATACATGCAAAGAATTTAAGTAAGGAATCCCCCAAACAAAGACGACTTTCTGCAAAGTCGATGGCTAGACCAGAAGGACGGCCGATCGTTTGGTTTCGCAAAACGATACAGTTGGTTGCATCTAGGTTACAACGCCATACACGAGCCTTGGTTGAGAATATTAAGCATTAAAAAACATGGAAATAATCCTCACTGGCCTTTCTGCCTCAGCAAAGAAGACATATCCTCTCCATGGGTGTACAACTACAGAAACTGGATCTCGAAGTTTCACAAGCAGTTTACGGCGGACAAGTTGTTCAGGATTTACTAGACCCTGTATTGAATTTCTTTTCAGAATTTATTTTTTGTAATTCACCTGGTCGGTCACCTTTACAACCTCCAAGGAGTTCCTTATGTTGTCGCTTAATTTTGAAGCAATTATAAAGGTATCCCTAAACATAAGACAAAATTACCCACATATAGTATAGTTGCCTGCTCATCCAATCAAATGACATGGATATTAGGCCATCATTGTGGGTCTTAAAAATTTTTTAATAAATTTTTTGGAACTTGAGAGACCCACCACAAGTATTGGAGCCGATCCTTCTCCATCTGGCTTCACACTAAAATTCATAATCGAATATATATTCACATTTAATCTACCGGTAAAGTGTATTATCCATAATATCAGCATAAAAGAAGCTTGAACTATGAACATCACATTCTACTGCAAAGTACATGCCTACTCTACGTTGAGATTGAGGAGAAATTGGCAAAACAGCTTCGGCTAGTGTATTTTGTAGGATTTCGGGGTAAATGCCACGAATCTTTTGGTGGAAATAATTTATGATTTAAGTAAGTATTAGACTCACAACTCTGTTGCTGCTAAACAGCAAATAATCTATTGAAGGCACACATCGTTTACCGTCAACCAATTTCTAGATAAGAATGCCTATTATTTATGCTAGTCCAGTCAGTCTACCTGGCCGATAGGACAAGCACAACGGTAGCCCACACCAAATCCGACATTATCTTTGGCTAGAAGACACATTCCCTCACAATCGGCCTTATCGCACGGATTTTCAATGTGTTGCTGGAAGCAATCACTGTGAGAAGGACCGGGCTGTGCCATTTGATGATATGCAGCAATCCCCATAGGAAAAACGTTCCCATCTTTATTAGACCAAATAACTTCAGAAGCCGCTCCAAACTTTTCAACACGCATAATTCCCAATCTTGTCCAGTCTGTCCAATACAGGTATTGATCGAATATAGCCAATCCGAAAGGATGGGGAGCAAAATTTCTAAGAAATTCAGAGTTAATACGATCCGGAAACAGGATCTTTTATGAAATTCAACCTTCCAGATGCAATCTGTCGTCGATCATTACCAGAATAGTCAACTGATTCAACTCGGTCGACTTTCGGGTCACACCAGTAAACTCGTTTAGCAGCGATATCAACAACAACACCGCTCACCTAAATGTTATAAAACTTGAGTTATAAAGGAACTCATACTCACTTGATGGGTGTGTGTTTCGACTATTACACGTCGACTTGTACCTTATCAAGAAATTTAAAGTAATTAAAAGTTGTAAATATCAAACCATCCATGTGGCAAGTCTCCAATTTTAACTGGTTAGAAAAGAACATTTCACCCCGAAGAGCTTAAATTTGACAATCCTTTAAACTTATCAAGGGTTAAGCTCACGATCCAAAGCAATATCGAGTGGAAGAGTAAGGCCATCTGCTAGCAAAACAGTTCGTTTATCGCCTTCATAGTTGAGCACATCAATGCGTCTTGAGCCACTTTCGATTACATAAATCTTTAAATTTTGAAAGAAATATCCACTCAATTGTGTAAAATTTACATTATTAGTAATCCAATCAACGGCTAAATTTCTCGGGTAAATCAGTGATTTTAGCTCAAATTTGTGCTAAAAATTTATTTTCAAACCGGACTACAACTAATAAACGTACAATATGTTCAATATCACCCCCAGAAGTGATATCAGCCCGGTAGAGAGAGTGGGCTAACCGATCAGTCCAGAATATTTTCCGTTTCTCGTAATCAAAATCTACTCCATAAATAAATTCTCCTGAAGCGATTTTAACGGCAGATTCTTCCTACAGATAAAAGGTTAGAGGTGAATTCTAAATTGAATTCCAACCTTATTTGCTGGATTCAGCCGATAAAGTCCTTCACGGCGAGCGACAAACAGACGCATTTGTTCAGGTTCACTGGAAATGCAATACCCCCGAAGTGTTAAATTATTGCTTCCACCAAACGATCCTGAATTTGCCCCTGTGCTTTGCACCATTTGAAGTCTTTAAAAAAGCCGAAGGATTCTTTAAATAAAAGCATTAGAAGTCTACTTAAAGCAGGATCCTAAACAGCCACAAGTAAAACTAGGTCGGTGATTCTGGCAAGTTTGATCACAATATCCAAAATCGGCGCATTCATTAATGTCTTAAAAATTGATTTTTTCCTTCAATTTCACTCATTAATTCTCAAAATAGCCTTTACCAATGCAAGACCGTTCGAAACGCTCATCGAGTTTATAGCCCTGTGGACAAGTACAAATGCCACCGGTAGGAGAACTTGCACATCCGGACTGGCATCCGAGCGTTTGACAAAGATTACGAGCTGTAAATAAATTATTTATTGATAACTTCAAACTAAATTAGAAACTAACAGCATGTTTTTTCATCCGCGCCACTATCACAATCCTGATAAAATAAAAAATTTTTAATAAGCCTTTTAGCCTTAAAGTCCTGTTTTGACCCTCAAACTCACATTAACTCCATTACATAATTTTGACAGATGAATGCAATGACCGGAATTTGGACAGGGCCACATATCCGGAGGGCATTTATAATGACCACATTCCTCCTCGTCTGAATTATCACCTGAACATTTTTAATTGTTAGGTCAAATCAGTAAACATTTTATATTATTTACCGCAGTCATCATAGTAATCACAACGGAATTTTTGAGGAACACAACGTTTATTTTTACATTTAAAATCGCCTGCCTGGCACGCTGGAAATTTGCATGTTGGTGGTTCATCCTTCAAAAATAAAATTCTAGAAAATTTCCAAACAGAAATTCAACCGATTTATCAGCACAGTCAGGGGTTCCATCACAAACCCAAATTTTTTGTATGCATTGGGTTTTATCCGCGCATCGAAATTGGTAGGGAAAACAAGCCTAAATATTTCTGTCTAGGATATACTATAATTTAAATACTGTATGATTAGTGGAGCAAGAATCTTTCTCGTCACTAAGATCACGACAATCATAGATTCCATCGCATTTGCGAGTAATTGGAAAACACTAAAACAGACAAACTATTAAAAGTATTTTCGGAATGATTCCAGATTGTACTAAGCTCTAAAACTAAGTTCTTAACTTAATTTTAGGAAACTTAAGACTTTGTTTTCCGGAAACTTAAGAACTTAGTTTTTAGTAAATAAGTTTTGATTTTCCAGAAACGTTTTAATAAACTTAATAAACTTAAGAAAGAGTTTAATTAACTTTTTCCAGAAACTTAAGAACTTAGTTTCGGTAAACTTAAGAACTTTGTTTTCCGGAAACTTAAGAATTTAGTTTCGGTAAACTTAAGCTTATTAAACCGGAAACTTAAGCCTAGTTTTAAGTAAATAAGTCTTAATTTTCCGGAAACTTAAAACCTAAGTTTTAAGTAAATAAGTTTGAATTTTCCGGAAACTTAAGAACTAAGTTTTAAATAAATAAGTTTTAATTTTCCGCAAACTTAAGAGCTAAATTTTAAATAAGTTTTAATTTTCTGCAAACTTAAAATAAGTTTTATTTTCCGGTAAGTTTTAAAATAAGTTTTAATTAAAACTTAAAATAAGTTTTAATTTTCCGGAAACTTAAAATAAGTTTTAATTTTCCGGTAAGTTTAAAAATAAGTTTAAAAATAAGTTTTAATTAAAACTTAAAATAAGTTTTATTTTCCGGTAAGTTTAAAAATAAGTTTAAAAATAAGTTTTAATTAAAACTTAAAATAAGTTTTATTTTCCGGTAAGTTTAAAAATAAGTTTTAAAATAAGTTTTAATTAAAACTTAAAATAAGTTTTAATTTTCCGGAAACTTAAAATAAGTTTTAATTTTCCAGTAAGTTTAAAAATAAGTTTTAAAATAAGTTTTAATTAAAACTTAAAATAAGTTTTAATTTTCCGGAAACTTAAAATAAGTTTTAATTTTCCAGTAAGTTTAAAAATAAGTTTTAAAATAAGTTTTAATTAAAACTTAAAATAAGTTTTATTTTCCGGTAAGTTTAAAAATAAGTTTTAAAATAAGTTTTAATTAAAACTTAAAATAAGTTTTAATTTTCCGGAAACTTAAAATAAGTTTTAATTTTCCAGTAAGTTTAAAAATAAGTTTTAAAATAAGTTTTAATTAAAACTTAAAATAAGTTTTATTTTCCGGTAAGTTTAAAAATAAGTTTTAAAATAAGTTTTAATTAAAACTTAAAATAAGTTTTAATTTTCCGGAAACTTAAAATAAGTTTTAATTTTCCAGTAAGTTTAAAAATAAGTTTTAAAATAAGTTTTAATTAAAACTTAAAATAAGTTTTATTTTCCGGTAAGTTTAAAAATAAGTTTTAAAATAAGTTTTAATTAAAACTTAAAATAAGTTTTAATTTTCCGGAAACTTAAAATAAGTTTTAATTTTCCAGTAAGTTTAAAAATAAGTTTTAAAATAAGTTTTAATTAAAACTTAAAATAAGTTTTATTTTCCGGTAAGTTTAAAAATAAGTTTTAAAATAAGTTTTAATTAAAACTTAAAATAAGTTTTAATTTTCCGGAAACTTAAAATAAGTTTTAATTTTCCAGTAAGTTTAAAAATAAGTTTTAAAATAAGTTTTAATTAAAACTTAAAATAAGTTTTATTTTCCGGTAAGTTTAAAAATAAGTTTAAAAATAAGTTTTAATTAAAACTTAAAATAAGTTTTATTTTCCGGTAAGTTTAAAAATAAGTTTTAAAATAAGTTTTAATTAAAACTTAAAATAAGTTTTAATTTTCCGGAAACTTAAAATAAGTTTTAATTTTCCAGTAAGTTTAAAAATAAGTTTTAAAATAAGTTTTAATTAAAACTTAAAATAAGTTTTAATTTTCCGGAAACTTAAAATAAGTTTTAATTTTCCAGTAAGTTTAAAAATAAGTTTTAAAATAAGTTTTAATTAAAACTTAAAATAAGTTTTAATTTTCCGGAAACTTAAGAAACAAACAAAGTTGTTAAGTTTACTAAAGTTTTTTTAGTAAACTTAACAACTTTGTTTTCCGGAAACTTAAGACTTAGTTTTAAGTAAATAAGTTTTAATTTTAAGTTTTAAATAAGTTTTAATTTTCTGGTTTGGTAAGTACTGGTTTTTAAAACTTAACTGGCGTCCATCAAAACATTGAAAAACTGAACCATCTTTAACTTCGCAGTTTACTGGAGATGCGGCTGAATTTTTCAAAATTAAAATAAATTTTTGTGTTATTTCAAAATTTAAATTTGTATAAAATTTAAAAATATTCTTACGGCAGTCTTTTTCATCAGAACCATCAACACAATCGCTCTTTAATAAAAGAAATTTTAGTCCTAGTTATCCTGTAAATTTAATGCTTACAATATTATCACAACGCTGATACTCTTGCTACAAAATATTGTTTTATTTCAAAATTTTAAATTCAAGATTAATCTTACAATGCACGAGACTGAGTGAATATCGTATTTATCGCCTGCAATATTAAAATAATATTTAATATCTTAAGGATAATTTAAGGGATCTATTAGCTTTATTAATTACCCTCCATCAAAAAATTACCCCAATCTATTAATTACCCTCTCCAGCAATAGGTTGAAACAATAATTACTCTCCATCAAAAGCCCTGCCAAAGTTTCAAACTTCAAAACCCGGATAATTGCCCTCCCTCAATTACTCCCCCCAACGAGGTCGAAGCAATAATTACCCAGAGTATTTATTCAAGGAAACACGGTAAATTATAAATCAGTAATTAAAAATCTCTCACATTGCCACTGTTCGGCTTTACATCCCGGGTGGGCTAAAAATTTAGATTTAAACAGATAATTTAGAACATTTCTTACGGCAATTGTTCTCATCTTCGCCGTTGCGACAATCACCTGATAAAAAACATTCAGTGTAATTAAGTCCATCTACTCAAAACTCACCAGATCCATCACATTTCCATTCCAGCCTGATACAGTGACCATCATCGCATCGAAACTCTGTCTCAGAACAAACTCCAGAAGAACTTCCAGAGGGACTTTGCTGTTGTAAATGAGAACGATGAGCACCTCTATGTCCTATACTTGGAGCTTCAGCATCAGTTGTAAAGACAGTCCCAGAAATGAATCCAGGCCTGACGCCAGGAGGTCCTCGGTGAAATGGATGTGGTGGTTCAACTCCAAGTAAAATTCCTTTTATTTATGAAGAATTTTGGAGAATTTTTATCCCAGCCGCCCAGGAATTAGGGTGGAAAGGAAAAAATTTTTTAAGCTAGGATTTGATAATTAGTATATTTGATATAGATGAATTTCGGCAGATTAAGATGACTTTGTTAGGATTAAAAACGATTAAGAGAGAGGGATACAGGAGACCCTATCATTTAGAGTTGATTCTAAGGTCACCTCTAGGGTGTTTAGCTCATAGTAATTGACCTTCCGGGGTGGAAGAAATTTTGATAATTAGGATAACTTTAAATAAGTGGGATTAAGAGGGAGTTATTGAAATTAAGAGGATTAGGATTTAATGGGATTAAGAGGCAGAAGACGTAATCCTGAGTATTCGGACTTGGCCTCCAGGATCATATAATCACCCGGAAGTTGACCCCCAAGGTGAGTTGACCTCTAGGATGTTTAACTTCTGGGTCGGAAGAAATTTTCCCGTGGCGCGAACTTTGCGGACCCGAATTTTGCGGACCCGAACTTTGCGGACCCGAAATTTGCGGAACGAAAGTTGCGGACCCGAACGTTGCGGACACGAAGTTTGCGGACCTGATCTTTGCGGAACCAAGATTTTAGGACCGACACTTGAGTAAAAAGGAAAAATTAAAAATTTTATTTTTCAAGGATTCCGGCAGAGTTTACCATGATCCATACCGGATTCAAGATTTTTTCTTGATTTTTCAAAATTTTTATCAATTTTCTATCTTGAAATTATTTCATAATTTAATCAATCGAGAAAATTCCTTAAAAAATCATTTATATGGCCATTTCATAAGGTCATGATGCCTGAATTTATCCTAATTAACGCCGCAGGATAAAATTTTTGAAATTTCCGAGGTTCAGTAGACTCTATTGTCGGTCCGCAAATTTTTGGTCCGCAAATCTCGGATCCGCAAAATTCGTGTCCGCATAGTTCGGGTCCGCAAAATTCGGGTCCGCAAAGTTCGGGTTCGCAAATTTCGGGTCCGCAAATTAAAATCCGCAAATTTCGGCGCGCCAATTTTCCATAGTTAATTTTGAAAAACAATATTTGAAAAAATCTTAAAGTAAACTTACTTTGTATTGTATGTATAGGAAATTTTGTATCCAAATTAATACATAATCTTGGCAAGCAAAATAAATTGAGCAAAAATAGGGGTAACAAAAAATATTTAAACAACAAAAACAACATAATGAGTGTATGTATTTAATAAAAATACATTTTTAAATGCTAAAAATTAATAGAAAAATTTTTATGATTAATAGAGAAATTTTGTGAAAATTGGATGAAAAATGGATGAAAAATTGAATCAGTTTCCTTTAATAAATGACTATAATTAAATGACCTAAATGACCTATAATTTAGATTGAATTACGCTGTAGAAATAAAATAAAAGAGAAAAAATCTGACCCATTAACTCAACGTGTCTTCAAAATAAAAAAAACTTAATTTCTCATAATTTGAGGGAATTTCAGCCCTAAAAGGCTGTGAAATGGCAGACGGGAAGGCGAAAACATAAACAACCCTCAAGAATATCCTCTGCGCATGTGCGAAGTGCATGGGGTTGCGCTAGTTGTGCAGCAATATCGACCGATTGCTGATACTTTTTCTGGCAGCTATTTGGCTGTCGATAGATCTTATAATCTTTATCCAATCAATTATGTTAAACAAGAAAGGGATTAAAATAATAAAATTGAATTGATTATCAACTAGAATATCTCATAATCCAAAAACTATTTTAGAAAGAGGGGGTGGGTTATTCTGTAGGGGACAGACATACCTATTTGAATTGTGGTGTCAAAAATAAATAACTTCTTGAGTGATTACGATAGTTCTTAAACATTAGAACACTGTTCTTCAATAGGACAATTTACTATCGAAGACAGTGTCCGTAGGTCTCGAAATCAGTAGGGTAACTGTTCGTACATTGAAAAATCCCATCCCGATCAGAGATGGGCGAATATTTCGTTTTGTGACCTTTTTTCGTTTTTTCGCCCATATCTGGTCCCGATATTCTGGCCCCAGGGTCTAAGGCGATTATAGTAGTACCCAGCTCTTCGTGTTAGAACCTATTATGTATGGTTAGGGTTGCGCTCCTTGAAGGCGCGTTTGTCGGGGTGCGTTGGAGTATGACTGAAAGAAAGCACAAACAAGTTGTTGTCTGTCATACTCCAGCACACTCCAAAAAACGTGCCCTCAAGGAGTCGGGGCCCAACCTTAATTATGGTTCGGTATTTTGCGTGTGTAATCTAGGGGATTAACTTTGGGTCTACTTTGGAGATCTAACTTTGGGAGATTAGACCTCAGTATTCCCAAAATATTTTATGATAATACGGTGAACTATAGATTTAGGAAGAAAATAAAAAGGGGTCATACAAAGTTCACAATTGCCCAAAATCTTATCTTAACCCCCAAAATCCTTTAATAAGATTTCCCAAAGAAATATCACTATAAATTTACCAGAAAAAATTTTTTCGGATATTTATTTTAATTAAAAGGTATAGAATAATCTAGAATAGTCTCCAAAACAGAAGGATGATAAGACAGTTAAAAATGAATAATTTGGCGGTGAATTTTTTTGACGAAAGTAACGTCAACCCAAAAATGATTACTATCGCATAATGAGCACAGCCAAAATAGACCGGCATAATTTAAAAAATAAAATGTCAAAATTAAAAAATGAAGAAGAAAATGTGAAGAGGGGAGCAGGCCAGTGTACCGCCGAGCTATAACGGTAATTCCAAGGCTGGTCCCCCCCCTTTTTTTCTGTTCCTCTGACCATTTTGAGTTTTTTTGCTTGGCATATAATTTTCAATATATCGTTCGAAAGAGCTGTTCGAGCTGAGTAGAATGATACTATGATCGGTTAGATTTGGCGAATCTGAACAGATTTATGAAGCTAAATCCTCGAAGGACGTTCTTTTTGTGATGCTGAAAGGGATTAAAACAAATGCTCATAGCTATGTTTATTTAAGTCGGATTTCGATGAATCTAGTACCGTTCGACTCAGCTCGAAGAGCTCTTTCGAATGATATGTAATTTGCCATAAAAAGTTTAAAAAATCGAAAAAAATAGAAAGGAAAAAAAAGGGGGGGGGGACCAGCCTTGGAATTACCGCTATAACTTAGTTCAAAATTGTCGAATCCGTGGCGCCCTGGTATGGTTCGATGCGTCTCGACCAGCTGAATCGAACCATACCAGGGCGCCACGGATTCGGCAATTTTGAACAAAGTTATAGCTCGGCGATACATTGGGCTCGGCAGTACATCGGAGTGTACCCTGTGAAGAGTTCTATTAAAGTTCTGATCTAAAATTAAATAGGAAAAAGGATCAAGAGTTGATAAAAAAATATTTTTTTGTTCTCTCACATGCTGGTCATTTTTATTTTTATTTTCGGGAGTAATTGGAGATGGCCGGTGATAGAAAAATTTTTTGTGGAAATGTACAGTGCGCGGATTGTTGTTAAAAATGAGGAGAGCAAAACAGTAAAAATATTTTCTAAAACTCTCTCAACTAGCGGAAAAGATTTATTTTACAGACGGCGAAATAAAAACAAAACAACACCTCTAGCAAATTTACTCTACGGACAACCGGTCTAGCTAGGTAATTGTTTGACTAATTTTGATCGATTTGAGAAAAATATATGATCAATTTTAAATTTTGAAAATTTTGAATTAATTTTAAAAAATATTGTTTAAAATTTAAATAGAGGCAAGCAATGTGAGAAAATAATAACGCAACTTCGAGGTGAAATTTTGAAAAAATTTATTGTCTGGTCAAATCCGAAGATACTAATTAAGAGCCAGAAAAGGTAGTATTTAGCCCGGAACAGAGTTATCTACCTAAATTGGGGCTGCCTAGGAGTCAAAAAAAGTGCGTGAACTTTTTCCGAGTTCAGAAAATGCTTCAAAATCATCAGAATTGATTTTGGGTAACTGATTTTCGGTATAATTTCGGAATACTAAACAGACTCCGATTGCGACAAATTATATGTCATTCGACTCAGCTCGGCGAGCTGAGTCGAATGACACCAAAATCATCGAAATCCGACTTGTTTTGACAAAGTTATGCTCGTTTGTTTTAGCTCCTTACCTATGGCCTCCGTGGATGTTCTTGCTGCTGCGGAGGAAGCAAGGCATGACCATCACAGCGATAATTGGAATAGGATTAAGTTACGAGCCCAGACCCAGCGCCCGTAGACTCCCTGCGAGGCGCGTGCCGCAAAACTCCGCGCGAAGCGCGGAGTTTTGCACAAGCGCCTCGCCGACGCCCCGTAGGTTTACGTTGTTTGTTTTTTCTGTCATAACTTCGAACAATCTTGACCAATCACGGCGATTTTGGTGTCAATCGACTCAGCTCGAAGAGCTCTTTCAAATGAGCTATTATCTGCATATTCGAATTTTTCACCCCAAAAAAGTGCTTGGTCCCCCCTATGGTTTTTCAATTTTTCGGGACCTATAACTCGGCACATAGTTACGTCCCAATCGATATTTTGATGTCATTCGACTCAGCTCGCCGAGCTGAGTCGAATGACATATAATTTGTCCTAATCGGAGTCTGTTTAGTATTCCGAAATTATTCCTGATTTTCTTATCATAGAAAATGTACTGACACTGAACAACATATAAAATAATAATAAAAATAAATGAAATTAAAAAATAAGTACAAAAGGTAATGATGAAAAATAAAAAATATTTTTCAAATTTATAAATATTTAAAAACAAACTCGCAGCAGACACCCTTTTCTCATTTCGGTGCTACCTGCCCCCTCTCAAAAAAATTTTACTTTAAAAATATTTTTTTCAATTATTATTTAACAGCAAAATATTTTTTTATTATTTTACTTTCATTTTTCATTATTTTAAAGTGAAAAGTTTGAAATTGGAAGGGTAAAGGTCCGATGACACAATCAATCATCTTCCCTATTTTTCCTTCCAATTTTCATATTTTCTTCGGCAAAAATAAAATATCTCTCCGACGAGAATCAAGGCTACAAAACCAAGGCCAAATCAGGTAATGGATGGGTGAACAAGAAAATTGATGAGTGGATTATAATATTTTTTATTTTGCATTTAGAGTAGCCGCAGCATAAGAGGAGGGGTTGTTGAACAAAATGCAAATAGGGGGGAAGGGGAGGGGGGGGGGGAAGGGGAAGGGTTTAAGGGGCGCGAAAGAGGAGAGGGGGGTCAATGTGAAACAAGAAGGGGGAAAGTCTACAATCTTATGATGAAAATAAAATTATTAAAAAAAATAAAAGAGGGTCCAAATTAAGCTAAAATTGAAGAGAATAAAAGGATTAAAAGCAGAATATTACCTTCCAAAGGCAATTTGTTTTCAAAGGATGTGCGCGAATGAAATGTGCAGATATTTAGGTGTGGTAAAGGCCGCCAACGGCAATAATAAGCACTTGCGCACGCACATAAACTAAACAAATCGATCAAAAATTCATTCATTAATTCGGCCAGCTACAAATGAAGTTGCACATTTCACGTTAATTTCGCGCTTTGAGCTGTTGATCTTCACCAAAAATTTTTTGCACCAAACAAGTTAATGATTAGTAAAAACTGGTGTTTATTAATGGGAGGACAGAGGCTAAGAACTAATTGACAACCAGTTTTTTTTTAAAAATTAAAAACTAAATTGATTTTTCTAAAAATATTTTTAATCAGTTAGATGCATTTTTAAAATAATTTAAATTTAATGACAAAGTGAAAGACAAAATTTTGATTTTTAATGATTCAACAATCATGTTTTGGTACTTTCTGGATATCCAGCACCCTAACTTGAATCTCAGAGATTTCCATAAGGTCGAAATTCCGAGTTCCGACTTTTGAGACAGTTCCGATTTCAGGCTCTTCCGATTTCCGACACCTCTGGATGTTCCGACCCACCTCTGCCTGTGACCTATTCAAATGAGAGGCATCAGCAAAAAGAAGTTTGATCATTACAAACATCCTAGGGAAAACTCCAAAGGGGACGAGATATCCAAAAAGTACCCAGGATTTATTTAAACTTGGAATCTCGATCTTCCCAATTTTGTGGACGCACAATAAATGTTTCTAAAATGTGGTTTTGATATAGAAAAGCGGAAAGTGAATTGAACAATGTTCGGACAACAATATAAATAGCCAAAAATTGAATCCAAGCCAATTTTAGCATTTCCCACACATCCGTTCTGAAAATTGAAAGTAATTTGAGGGAATAAGACACAAATCAACCTATAATAGAAGATTTGTTCATTAATTCTAAGCCTGTAATTGACGTGAAAGCTTCCAGATTCTGTATCATTTGGGGTTTCTGAACGAGTATCCCATCGCTGGGCGCTGCTACAAAACGGAAAGGATTATTACTTGTGAGAGAGGGAGAGAGTTACCTAACAAGTTCAAGTGTGAAATCCTGCTCTATTTGATAATTCTGAAGTGCCCAAATAGCTGAATCCATTTTATTTTTCAAGTTGTAGTCGTCTAAATCTAACAATGAACTAGTCTCGTCTGTTTTTAAGTAATCGCTGATAGAATTATTAGCTGAATCTGTAGCATTCCTAATATTCAACGTCGAGGATGCCCATACAAAAGGCGATTGAGTTAAATTTCCCCAACTGGGCAGTGGTCCACGTTGAGTCATTTGTAGAATACCGATCATGCTTAAATCAAAGAAAATTTTGCTTGTAAAAATAGGCGCATTTTAGCACCTTCCCATACCTCATAGCTTTATATGTATTGGATGGTCTGCTGATCTTCCCAATAACCGGGCACATTTTAAACTAATAAAATTTACATTTAAATTAAAGTATAAAAACATTTTTATTTTCTACCTGTAGCAATGCACGTCGATCAAGGCGAACATCAAAAAATAACACAAAAGTAATAACTCTGAATTTATCACTTGTGTTGCCTTTTGGTGAACGAAATAGAATATTTATTATTGTCTGAATTATTTAATTTTGTTAATCATATACGTCCAAGAACCTCCTCTGGTCGACCATCATCGTCTACATCCAAACTACTCATTTCAAATGCAGGAAAAGTCAAGTATTCACTCCATCGTTCATTCCAATGAGTTACAGGGCTCCAAAAATGTTGGACTTGGCCTTCCCCGTCTTCGAATAAAAGAAATAATTGTTCATTAAACTGTACAATAGGCCGCTCTAAATAAGTGTTGGTCCTTCGCCACAACCCCTACAAAATTAAATTTAAAAATCTGAGGTATACTTGAGGAAATATCAACAACCTGTGTAGCAAACGTTAAAAACAGCGCAATTATTGCTGATAAAGGGAAGCTGAAGAAATGCCAAATATTGGCAAATGAAAGCGTGGAAGCACGATATTCGACAGATATTGGCTTTAAAATTTTTCAAATATTTTTAAAACCAAATTTAAAATTATCTTACAGTGCTATAAACAGTTTTAAGTCGCAACATTATTTTGTTTTATTGGAAATAAAAAAATTTAAATTTTCTTTTGAAATTATTAAACCAGTCCAAAAAGAGAATACCCAAGCTAAGGTAGCCAAAAATGCATAGAACAAATCAAGAATAAATTTTAAACGATTTGGAGAAATAACAACCATTCAGTACTAGTTTATGGTCATTTTAATTGAAAAGGTAAAGAATGTTTTTTTATAAATTCACCCAAAAATGGTTGCTAAGGAACACTTTTCCATTGAATATTAGCGTCAGTAATAACGAGAGAGCTGTAATCACAGCAGAAATTGTAGAGGAACCAAAGTGGAGGGATCAAGGTTTATAGCAGGAATGGGCCCTCCCGCATTTTAAAAAGGTATAAAATCAAAATTCTGCAGAAGGTGGGAGACAGCACCCCCTGCTGTATATGTAGCAAAAATCGTGAGGAACCAAGGTTTATAATACTAGGCTAACCCTACACCCGACGATTTTTTGGTAAAAACCCCAAACCAAACCCGAAGGCTTTATCACGTCGAGGCACGATCCCCTACACTCCCGACTCCGAAGTAAGGTTCCTACCCTAGTTTAAAGTGTCTATAAGTCAATAATCCTTTTTTATTTGTCGTCATAGATAATAAACAAAAAAAACATGAAATATTTTGATTATGGAATTTTTAATTTAAAAATGAAGCCATTATTTATAAAAACACGCATATTTTTTGGATCATTTAAATACTGCTTTTATGTGTTGCTGCACATTGAATGTAAAATAGAGAGAGAGGAGTGTTTTTTTAGAAATATACTAGAGCTGGAGAAGTTATTTAAATAATGGCACATCTCCGCCTCCTTTTTGGCTTTTCCTTGTGCTTTTTAAATTAAATTATAATAAAAAATTTTGATAAAAAAAATACCTTAAACTTTCTAATTTCACGCACAAGAGCCTAAAAAATTTTAATTAGTAAATTAATTTTGTAATTCATTTATCTTCATGATTATATGAAGATTAAAGATAGAGTTGGGCCTGGACAAAGGCCTGGGTTTTTCGTGTACCCAAAGTCCAGGTCCGGGGATTTTTTGACCTTCCTGGATTTTTCCTGGGCCTGGGTTTTTCCCTGGCCTGGGTTTTTCCTGGACTACAGGCCTACGATCGGGCCTAGGTCAATAAATCAAACCCAGAGTCCAGGAACAGGCCCAGGCTTTTCAAAAATCTCAATCTCTAATAGAGAATTAGAATAATAATTAAAATGTATGGGGAGAACCTTGAGGTAAAACATTAACTTATTTGATTGCGAAAAAAGTCAACAATAGACAATCTACTCGATTTAAATCTAAAAAGATAATGTCGACTTTACTTAGGTCCTTCTATGAGGATTTTTTAAAAACCATGGAATCTTAAACATTTGGAATTTTTTGAAAATTTAAAAGGCCAATAAATCAAAGTTAAAAAACAAATTTTCACAAACATGAAAAGCCTCGTCCACATGCTTGCGAGTTTTAGCACTTGTGTCAATAAATGGAATGCCAAAAGAACGTGCCAATTCTTGTACAGATCGCTGGTCAACTGCTCGCTGTTGGAGATCACATTTATTACCGACCAAAACCATTGGAACCTTTAAAAAATTAAGAAAATTTAGTAAAAAGGAACCCATGTCATAAACACTTAATGGTGATATTTAAGCTGACACCTCCTTTTTCCCTTATATTTCTTTACATTTTCCTCATTATATACAAGCGAAAAAACACAAAAAGGACAAAGGAAAATTGTAGGTAACAGGGTAATATTGAACATGACAGATCCCATTTATTCCTCCCCGTTTTTTCCATATGTATCTACAAAATAGTCAGACATCCTCCTTTCGTCCATCCCAATTGCCTTTCTAATTTTGCCTATAAGCAATCAAAAGTAATTACCTAATTTTTATTCCTTCTTGAATGGAAGGACAAAGTTGACCATCCTGCAGATATATAGGAAAACACATGAGAAGGAAAAAATGGGATCTGACAGGTTCAATATTACCGGTAACAGTCAATCTTATTAAAGTAAAAATTTTAAAATGACAAGAAAATAAAAACCTCGTCATTGTCCTTTACCCGTCTAATCTGTTCACGATAAGCGTGGATATTCTCAAAAGACTTGTACTAAAAATACAACGTTAATAAAATATTTAAAAATGATCAAAAAACCTCATTAAGCGCAAAAACCAAAAGAAAACCCTCGCCAGTACGCATATATTGGTCACGCATAGCAGAATACTCTTCCTAATTTATAAATTAAAAAGAAATATTTTTAAAGAAAAACCTGTCCTGCCGTGTCTAAAATGTCAAGAAGGCAGGTCTCGCCGTCAATAAGAACCTTAAATGACAAAAATATGCAACGGAATTGAAAAATATTATGAAAATAAAAGATCACCCTGGACAACCCAGACCAGTAGCGTTGCCCTGGGAAAATCTGAGATATCCGGAGCCGAACCGATAATTTTTCGGTTCGGTTCCGAACCGACAGCCCTAGGACTGTGAAAGGAACAGGAATATTTTCATTTACCAAAGTCATAATCGAAAATTAAGTCAGAATTCTAAAACGATTTCCTAATTTAAAATCAAGATAAATCTGTCACTCCATCACGTTAAAAGTAAAATATAAAAACTAGAGATCAGAAATTCGAAAAAACATTGACATAAATTCTTGATTTTAGTTGAGGACCTTATTCGTGGCCTTGAGTCAAGGAAAGATCAAGGAACACTTAAAAATTCACTTAATATTAACTCTGGATACCGGAAAAATAAGTCTGGATCCAGGCCGTTCTCTAATAAAACCAGAAATTTAAGCGCCCTTATTGAAGCGACCATCAAAAATAAGAAAAATACAAAACAAACCTGCTTTCGATAACTGTCCTCAATGGTCGGGTCATACTCTTCAATAAACTGGCCTTGGATTAATTGAATAGTTAATGCCTACAAATTTGTATTAAGCATCAAAATTTTAAATAAAAATAACCGATTTTCCAACTCCTCCATCGCCAACAACAACCAACTTTAAATAACAGAAATTTTTAAAAAATAAAAAAAATCAAACCTTATATTCAGTCATTTGTCCAAAAAAATAAATAGTTAATCAAATAAGTTGATATTCAGTAAAGGTCTTCAGAAAAAATTAAGAATTAAATATAATTAAATAAGTAGGAAGAAAGCTGAATTTGTTAAACAAGTCTTGTGAAAAAAATTAAAAAGGAAATTAGATTTGAAAATTTGTTCCAAGCAAAATAGAAAATTCGACAAAAAAACCAAGATCGACAAAAATTTTTTGAAAAGCCTGGACCTGTTCGAGGGTTTGGGTTTGATTTATTGACCTGGGCCGGATACTGGGCCTGTAGTCCAGGAAAAACCCTGGCCCCAGAAGAACCCAAGAAGGTCAAAAAATGCCTGGGCCTGGACTCTGGGTAAAGGAGAAAACCAGTCGTTGGTCCAGGCCCAGCTTGATAACTACTAACACGAAAAAAAGTTTGGGCACAACAAGAAACAAAACCCAATAAAAATTCAATTTGCGTATAAAATGTCAATAATTTCACTGTTTACCCTTTTCAAATATTTTGTAAATTATTTTAACTGAAAATATAGATTTTATTTTTTTACACTTTGAAATCCAGTAAAGTTACATTTTGAAGCTCGTCAGGAAATAGTGTGGGTTAGAGAAATAAATATTTTGAAACGTTCCCAGACAAAATGGTACATACAAAAATGGTATTAAGGCAAAAAGATGACAAAATGTCATCCGTGGAAATCCCGTCTTGTGCGAAAATTTTTAAGACAATCCCAGTTTCGGATTCCCGGAATTTTGAGTTTCAAGGGTTTTTGTCAAGAACGAAATTCGTTCTTTGAGTTAATGAATTTTCCGTTTCAAAAGACCTAAATAAATTGTCATCAATTTTTCTGGCATTAGCTTAAAATTTTTGAATTTTCTATCGAATATTCGCGAATGTAATGAAATTTGCGCCGTAAGCTATGCGCCGAATTTTAATATTTTTGCTTTTATTTTTCATCGTGTTTATTAGACACTGGTCTGATTCTTAAGTGATTTAAGATTAATTTGTTGTTGTCAAAGGGTAAAATTGTCGTTTTACTTTTCCTTCTCCAATTCCACTTTCTTCCCTATGACATATTCATGAACAGTTGTAAATAAAAAATTTGGAAGAAAGCCCGGCCAGTATGGCATATTAAGGAAAAAACTCGGGAGAAAGGGCCCGTAACTAGGATTGCGGCCCGGTCCGAAAGATCGAGTCGAGCTTCGAATTTTGGCCCGAAAAAGACTCGGCCGGGCCGGCCCGATAAAAACAAATCCCGAAAAATTGACTCTAACGTCGGACCGACCCGAAAACCCCAACTCTACCTGTAAACGATAAATTTACCTGCCAAAGTCTTAATACTTCTCGTTTTTTATTTCAGAAAATTTATTCTAAATTTATTGAAAAATAAACTATTATTGTATGACCGAGGACAAACAACTTTTCTTATTCGGACACACGCTTCCTGGGAACGAGAATCTTTTGCTCGAAAGGTTAATTTTGGTTTTACTCATGTTATTACGAAATTTTCAGGATTAAAGAATGTGCAGAGAAACGAAATAAAGGCTATTGCTCTACTTCGCCTGGATGTACTGTTCTTCGAAAAATTCCAGCTGAAGATGTTTTGCAAGTTACTGCTGGGCATAATTATGTTGCCTTTCTGCTCAAGGTTTTAGTTTACATTAGGGTTGTGGGTCAGTTCTTTGGTTTTCGGTTATGGATCCCTAAAGTTTAAGGTCGGATCGAATCCGGATTTCTTTGTTCGGTTACCGTTTTCCGAAGATTTTCTCAAGCGCCTTTCTGCTTAAGATTTTAATTCACAGTAGGGTTGTAGGTCACTTTGGTTCGGCTCCGTGTATCCTAAATTTAAGGTCGGTATGAATCCGGATTTTTTCAGTTCGGTTACGGATTGCCGAAGATTTTCTTAAAGCCAACAACCTAGCTCACATTCTCCCAACCTCTATTTGTACATTTTTAGGATCATCGAGTCGCTCGTCTTCGTTATGAGATTGTTGCCAACACTATTGAATCTACCGCCCCAACAGACAAAAGTATTCTTTAATCTTTTAAGTTTTAAAACGATTTTTTATTTGAGATGAATCTGGCCCTGGTTCATCAACAGCTCCAGCTACCACCACTGCTGGTTCCTCTGATCCAGCGTCAGCTTCTGCGAATGCTGCTGCAAATGCCGCAAATCGGACAGCCAAGATTAGGGTTTTTTCTTTCCTTTTTTTTACAAATTTTGATTTTATTTTTAGCGAATTATGATGACGCGCCCAGGGACTCGTTCTGGCGGATTTTGCCGCACTGGAGTTGTGATTGATAGAAACCGTTCTCGACCAATGATTCCTGCCTCTTCCGTTCCAGAGGATTTAATCGTGCAATGCCAGGTTTCTATCCTTTTTATGGCTTTATTAAAATATTCTTTAGGTTGTTTTACAAGGCAAATCTCGTGATGTGATCGTTCGCGAGTTACAACGCACTAACTTAAATGTCAACGAGGCAGTCAATAATTTACTTTCTCGCGACGATGATGAAATGGATGATTTGGATGACACAAGTGAGGCCTATTTACACGAAGAGTTGCTATCGTTGCTCGATGCTGGTCTTCGTTCCGATGGAAGTGGTGCCGCAGCAGCCGCTTTACTTGATAGCGACAGCATTTATTCGGCTGGAGATGGCTACGAATACTTGATTTCGCGTGATTTGGCTAGACGCAAGGGTGAAGGTTTAAATTTGAAAATTTTTTTATTTTTAACTTTTCAATTTAATAGACAAAACAAAAGACCAAAACAAGGAAAATGCGGACAGTTCTTCAACAATCCAGGAACATTTCTTCCTCGGTGAGCGCTATACTTACTGGGGCTTAAATGGCAATGATGTTGCTGATGGTTCAACAAAATTCCAATTTCCTGATGACGTTACAAAATTCGTAAAAATTGTCTCTATGCAATCTGAACTTATTGCGCTTGCTGACAATGGAAAGATTTATGGTTGGAGTTGGGAGATTGATTCTAAGCCTGACAATTCTCCACATGTTGCAAACGACATCCTTTTTTCATCCATAGGTATTTTATATTAATTTGCTTAACATATGTGAATCTTTATATTTATAGATATAGAAGGAGAAGGTGAGGCTGACTCCATCTCTAACATCGAATCTAGTGGTCTTCGCACAGCAGTACTTTCCAAAAATGGCCTTGTTGGATCATTTGTGGACATCTCATGTGGCAATAGACTTGGCCGTATACTTTCTGAAACGCCTATTGAGATGCCTGAACCAGTCGACAAGTTGCTCTGCTGCACGCTTTATAGTGCTGTTTTGACAAAAAATGGGAATATATTTTGGAGGTTGTTTCTTTAATAATTTACGTCTCAAAAATTTTTAATTTAAGAGGAATCTATCCGTTTAATGAGCGCAGGAAGATTTGGGAAAAAATACGCGCCCGCAAAAAACAAGTCACTTTTGAATCGTGTGGGTCCGAGATTGTTGTTGGAAGCGAGGTTTCTATTTAATTTATTTTTTAATTTAATCTTTTCTTTTTTAAGGTACGTACAAAATCTACTCCAATTTATTCATTTGGTTCAATTGCTGTCAACTTTAGTCAAGGAATTCCAATGGTTTTTCTATGCTGTTTTTTGATTTAACTGATTTTTCAGATTGGCGTTTTGTACGAGGATGCATGGACTTTGAATGAGACTTGTCGTTTCCGTGTCTTTGGGTTATTCAAATTAAAATATATTTTATAATTTGAATATTTTTTAGAAGTGCGAATGCTTACGACAACTATAATGGTGAGAAACTTCAACAACAAAAGGAGAAACGTGTTTCATTCAATTGTAAATTTTGCCATTTGTAGTCAATTTTTTGGACGATTTCCTCTTACTTTTTCCCTTAGTCATTTAGAATTTTTACTTTTTTTTCAATTTTAGGTATTTTATGGGTCTCCAACTTGAGTGGTTTTCTTTGATTTTTTGTTGCTCATTTTCAGAAATATTTTAGAAAAATTTTTGGGTTTAACTTTGGCAAAATTTTAAAATTCTGAAACATTATACGATAGTCACATGGTGTAGGTCCAAATATTTTAGTAGCTGGCAATCGTAAAAGAAATGCTCCTTCAGCGCAAGCCGAGAACGAACAACGACAATCATCAACAACTGCTCAGCCCTTATCCGGTTCTGGTTCAACCTCAGCAAACAATAGTTCTGATTTTGCTGGAAAAGAGAGTGCATGGAACCTGAAAGATTGCATATTTATTCATGAAGAGGCTGTTAATGATACAAGCATTGTTAAAATTGTAAATTTTAAATTTTTTAACAAACGTGGGGGAAGGTCTTTAACTTGTATTTAGAGATTGGTGTTGGCTCTGGGGTCTTGTCTGTCTCTCTGGTCTTCTCCTGGGTCCAGACTTTGATTTTTCCTTGGGTTTAGAATCAAGAGCAAGGATTTTTCAGGATTCCTTAATTTTCCCTTGACTTTGATTTTTCCTTGACTCATGTTAAAGGATCTTTTTAAAATCTCGATCTTTACTTACAATTATCCTTTTCTCACTCAGGTTGATGGTGCTTATTGTGGAATTGTTTTCAAATCTACAATGGAAAAACTTGAATCTGAACCATCCACAGATTTAAGCAAAATGGGCATTAGACTCATGCGCAAAGATGATTTAGTTCTAGTTTCTTCCTCATCGCGTGGTTCAAGATCTCCAGAAAATTTTCAAATGCAATTTAAACAAATTCGTCTACCATCCTCTGTTAAACAAGTTTTATCTGTTGCAGTTGATTTGACAGGTTTTTAATCAAAATTTAAAATTCTAATTTTAAAAAATTTCATAGGATTTCGTGTTTTATGTGAAAAACAGTCACGTGTCCATTTACTGCGGATTAGTTGTGTTGGCAAACTTTTAAGTGATCATCCTATCCCAGTCAATTTTGGAGCATTAACACAAAATAAAAAAGATGACTCCTATGAATGTATGACTACAGTTCAAAACTTTGGGGATGTAAGTTTTGAGATTTTTTCACACGTTTATCATGCTTTATTTTAAGGAATCAATTTTACTGTTAAATGATGGCTTTGGTGGCGGCTTTCAACCTCTTTTACGGAACATATCTGGTGGATACAAACAATTATCTTATACTGGTCTAGGCCGAATTCTTCAATATGGAATGGGTATAAGATATTTTGCATCGTCTGGTGAAATAAAGAGTGCAAGTATATGTTCGGGTACTTTGAATAAAAAGCTGAATTTTTGGGTTTTTTAATTTTTCCAGAACAAATTAGCGTTGACAAGAAGAACAACAGCTTGAATAAAAACGCCAATCGTATTCTATTGATGGTTGCTTTAGTTTCTCCGAGCCCTGAATGTACACTTCCTGATCATGGATCGCTTATGCAGGCCATACTTTTCTGGTTTATTTTTTTCTTCTTTTATGATGATTTTTTTAATTTTTAGTCAATTGGACGTCGTTATTGCTATTCTCAAAAAGCTTTTAAATTCCCCAATTGAAAGTCAGCCTGCTATCGTTTGTGAACAAATTGAAGGGAATCGAAATATTTTCCATGTTGCCGTTCAAAATGCTTACAGCAGAACAAATGCTGACCAAGCTGATGTTGATGCTACTGATTCACGTTTATCAACAGCCTCTCAAAAATCTGACACTGTCGAGGCGGATGCTGTTAAGACACGGTTTCTTTAGTTTTTTGTTTCTGTATATGTGTTAATTATTTTAGTTATGAACGCAAATGGCAAGAAATGATAAGTTCAGCACCAACAACACGAGCAAAAGCGCATCAACAACAGCAACTTTTAAACGAACTAACTTCTGAAATTAAAAAAGGTTTTTCTAAATATTTTGAGTAACTTTATACTCTTATTTTTATGGTAGATTCTTCCCCTGAAACGGGCAAAGATGAGCCGGAAAGTGCTGAATCATCTGATCTTATCAATAAAAGGATTCCTATAGCTGCCAAGGAAAGACAAGGTTCTTAAATTATTTTTTGTCTTCACAAATATAATTTAAGCCAATTCAATTGAAATAATTCGTGAATTGTGCAAAAACTCCGTAGTACGTGAATATTTTATTGATTTAATGCGACAACGTGACATCAATGGGCATAGTCCATTTGAGACTGCGATATATCAGCGAGCGTATTCAGCTGCCCAATTGATGTGGCAAACTGCAATTGATGTTAAGGACTGGAGTCAAGGTTATTTTTGATAGTTTTATATTCTAGTCCTTTTCATCGGAGACTAGACGTCGTTGGCTCCAGGAGTTGAAACCTGCCCTTTGAGCGAGCTGATTGACCAATTAAAAGAAAGCTTTCTCTTTTCAAACTTTTATTTAACAAATATTAAAATATAGGGAGTAGGAACTTGTCAACTTTATTCAGAATCGAGACGAGTGAATTAATATAGTCATTCTGTCTCTCTCCTTTCTGAGTGCTAAAGATGGCCGTTTATTAATTTAACGTTGAAAATAGATTTATATGATCTTATAAAATTTCTAGATGTTGTTGATATATTAATGCCAAGCGTTGGATCTAACGATACAAATGAAGATTCTTCACTTTTTATTCTTTGTGCTAATGATACATGCAGTATATTTTTTAAATTTATTTCTTATTTTTAATTCATAATTTAAAGGTTACACTTGGACAGGCGAAGAACATACGCCTCAAAAAATTTATGAATGCAAAACATGTGGACTTGTAGGGACTCTTTGTTGTTGTACTGAATGCGGTAATATTTACTCTTTATTTTTGTAAATAAATGATTGCTTTTAGCCCTCCTTTGTCATAGAAATCATGACTGCAAGTGAGTGATTTTGTTCTTTTTTGAAATTTTTGTCATTTAAAATTTTATTTTAGACTTAAAAAAACATCTCCAACAGCTTATTGTGACTGCTGGGAAAAATGTGAATGTAAAGCTTTGGTCACTGGAAATATTGCAAAAAGGGAACAATTGCTTTCTGGTTTTTTTTTAAAATTTTTTTTAGATTATTAATATCTAAATTTAATAGGGATGTTACAATGCCCTGCATTGATTGATGGCCTTAATTCTAAAGGAGAACACATTTTGCTTTTCTTGGCTCGCACTGTTGGTCGACAGGTTTTTTAATAATTTTTTTTATTTAAAATGTTTAATTTATTGAATAGTTGATAGAACAAGAGGGCTATACGAAGCGTAGTAAGCGCCCTGGGCCTACTACCACAACTACAGCATATGGTGTTCCTATCCCCGAACATGATCTTGAACCACCAAAATTTGCAAGAAAAGGTTTTTTTTAAATTTAATATGTTCAAATTTTAATATTTTTTAGCACTCGATTTGGCAATAGGAAATTGGGATGTTGTAAAAAGTTTGCTTGATGTTGGTATTAAAAAGCCGAATACTCTCATCAATTCCAAAACTGAAGATGATCAACCAATTTTAGAAAATGTTTTTCATTTGCTCGAACATAATGGTTCAACACATTTGGACAAATTTGTTTTAACTTTACTTGGCTGGTGTGAAGAATCGAGCCTTGACACTCTTCTTAATTTACTTGTGCGCCAAGCCAACAAACAACAAAAGAAATGGGATGAAGAAGTTCACTATTTAATTCAAAGATTTGTCCGTTCAGTTATTCGTCTTTTTGTTATGGTAATCTTGCTTTCACCAGAGGCTAATGGAACTTTACTTGGTTTAAAGAAATTTTAATTTTTTTGTTAAATTTTAAACACTTTCAGCAACAATTTTTGATGATATAAACAAAGCAATCCCAGCACCCGACGCTCCCAGCTTAATTTATCCACTTTCTAACCAGTCAAATGCTGCACAACCCGGCACGTCTACTTCGGCTGTTGCTGCAATACGAGATTCTTTGAACAATTACCGAGCTGCTGCCATCTCTGGTGTACTTTCATTAGTCCGTGCTAGTCTACCTGCCGCTCTTTCTCTCAATTCATCACTTGAGAAAAAAGATCAAAAGAAGCATAAAGTTATTGCTTTTGTAGCAAAATGTCGACGAGTGTTTCAGGTTATTTTAACTTTTTTTCTTTTTAACAGAATTTTCAGGCGTTAATTAGTTATTCGTTGCTAGAGTTGATTGGAATCACTGACGCGTTAATTTCTCCGATTCGTCTTGGAATCGTTAAACCTTCAGCTAGCATTGTCTCAAATGAGGATGTTTTGGAAGTTTTACAACAACACTTGACCAACGAGCAAGACTTGTCTTCATTAATTCGGATCTCAATGCAAAGTGGTGATCGCAATGAAACGTCTGCTGGTGTGGCCAACAATGCACGTATTATACAGTTGGCTGATTTACGACGAGGTGATACTAGTCAAGCAACAGACATGGCATTGGAGCGTGCTAGCGATGATGATATGTCAAGTATATATTTTTTATCAGTTTATCATTTTAATTTTTTTTTCTCAAATTAGATGAAGATGACGACGATGAAGAAGATTTGGATGCGCCAGCAACAATTTCTAGAACTCGTGAGAACAGCAATACTTCATTTAGTGCTCGTGAAAGGACAATCTCTGAGCAAAGTCGGCGTCGTCAAGAAAATGCTACTGGTTTAGATGAGAGTTTGGATGAACATGAAGGGGTTTGTTTAGTCGCGAAAATTTTTTAAAAAATATTTTTTATTGCTAGGAAGATGCGTATGGAAGTGATCACGATGACATTGACGATGATGACGACGATGATGAAGTTGAGCCATATTTTGACATCCACGACGATGACGACGACGATGATGATGGCGAAGCTGAAGTGCATGGTGGTTCTGATGTAAATCCGCTAGATGGAGAAGGAGATTCGAACGATACTGCAACAGTGACTATTGGTGCCCCTGCAACAACATCATCTACGACTGCGGAAACGGCAAATAGTGTTGAGGGTAGCAATACTTCAGCTACAATTTCGATTGAACCAACAACTGCTCGACAGGCTGACTCACAAACTCAGATAGCTGTTAGCGCTTCTGAACCCTCAGCTCGTGTTGGTGCGACCACCACTTCAACCACAACAAATCCTGCATCTAATAACGGTACTGATGGTTCTCGTCGAGGTGGAATGGGATGGGGTGAGGTAATTATGGATGAAAATGCTTGGGGTCGTAGTAACAACAATAATGTGTTTGGCAGTGGAACATCTGCTACCCAGAGGTAAGATTTTGATGAGTTAAATTAATATAATTTTTTCTTTCAGACCTAATGATCCTCGTTCAACTGTTCTTCGTTCCACCACGGCTAATTCAACAACACCTTCGATTTCTGCTAATGATTCTGTGACTTTGGGAGGTTCTGGTGCTACATCATTACCTTTAGCTGCTCAATCAGTCGTCACTGCTGATAACACTGTTGTTGCAAATTTGGGGGATAATAGTGACTTTTCTTCAAGTAATACAAGTACACAATTATCAGCTTGTTTCTCGGTTTGTTTTTCTTTTTAATTTTCTGATTTTTTTTTACTTTTTATTTTTAGACAATTGTCAAATTAATCGACGAATTACTTTTGCAATTATTTTTTTATGAAAATTGGAAACAACAAGGCAATAAATCAAAAGGAATCACCAACATACTTGAGTTGGATCCAAAGATTTTTGGCGTTTTTAAGGTTTGACTATTTATTTACTGTCTCAACTTCTCATATGTTTTTTAAATTGTAGGATGCTTTTGACGAATGTTTAGATCCAACATGGAATTGGTTCTTTTCGATTATGGACAAGTTAGTTTTATTTTTGTCTCTTTTTAAATATTTCTCTTTTTTTAAAGAACGGAAGCGCAGCTACGCTACTCAAATGCTTTAATGAACTCATCAGTTGGTCGTCTTCTAAATTTAACTCAAGTTGATGTTTCTGATCAAACTGATGAACGACGCGATGACCAACCACGAACATTAGCAGCAGCCGCACAACGAAATCGAGCTGCTGCTGAACAGAAGAAGCCTTTAACGAAACGTGTTACAATGGGAGCAAAACGTGGCGGGGATGGAAATGGTGCAACTGGAGATTCTGATAGTCAAAATGCTGCTCGGGCAGAAAATATTTCTTATTTTCTTTCACTTTTAAGAAGTTATTCGGCAGAAAATGGTTTTTATTTTTTTAAGTCAATTTTACTTTTTTAATTTCCTTTAAGGTGATGATTTGCCTGTGCTTGAACTTAATGCACTCAGAGATTTGGCTTTCATCATTGAATCTTATCTTTTCCATATTTGCTTTATCGACCAATTGGACCAGGCAAAGGCTGTTGTCCCACCAGTCAAGATTAGTCGAGCAACAAGAGGAAATTCTGAAATACGACAACACGAGAATGAAGAGCAAAAGAAGAACAAACTTCGTCGTTTTTTCAAACGCTCCAATTCAATTTCGTATTCGACATTGAGGTTATTTTTTTGTTTATTTCACAGATGTTATCTTCTCATTTTTTAGTGATGCTGTCAAACATCATGCATTTACATATACTGCGGCAGATGTTTTGCCACTTTCTGTTCGTCCTTATCTACTAAATTCTGAAGCGGAACGTGATGTATTATTCGCTCTTCCTCCATCTTATCGTACAAGATCTGTGCATCGGGTTTCTTTTATAACTTCAATTTTTGTTTTATTTTCATTTTTATTTTCAGCGTATTGCACTGGAGCATGGTGTTAAATTCCCTGCTCATCATAGCCTTTCCCAGCCTCCATTGTCTTATGCTGATTTACAAAATCGTCTATTCGGTGATGATGGCTCTAAAACTCAACAAATCGAGTCGGCCTCCACTCATGATGCTTCTAATTCTGATGCGATGGAAATATGCACTGCTACAAGTGATGGTGATTCCAAAAAACTGAGCCCTCCGGTTTTCAATGCATTTCAAAAGTCAATCGGACGATGGAATCGAACAATTGCATTCGTTGCAAAGGTATTTTTTTTTATAAAATATCAATCGTAAAATTTTTTTTAGAATTTCCATGACGATATCACTAAATGGTTTGGTGGTGATTCTTCTCATTCTGTTCTTATTCACAAAACTGGAGGTTTTTTTTAATTTTTTATAAACCTAATTCATTCCTTTTATTTAAGTTTGTTCCTTCAATGTCCGTTATTCTCAATTCCGAAAGCAGATGGATCGACTCAAAAGTACCCAAACCAAAGATTTAGTCTTTAGTGTATGTTTTAATTTTTGTGGATTTTATTGAATAATAAAATTTTCAGCAAGTTCCACGTGAGAAATATGTCCTTCTCCAACAAACCTTCCGACAGCTAAATCATCATTATGTTCGTCGAACGAGTGGGGCTAGTGGTACTTCTTCATCCACAGCAACCCCAAGTCAAATTACCAATGCAAGAACAAGTTCTTCAAGTGGCCCTGGAAGGACATTACCCCTTGCTTCACATAAGGTTAATTTAGCTTTTTTATTTTTTAACATTAATTCTTAAGGTAAAAGTAACTTTCCGTGATGAACCTGGAGAAGGTACTGGAGTTGCGCGTCATTTTTATGCCGCTGTTGCAGAGGTTGATTTTGATGTTTTTTAAATTTTTAATCGTTCATTAGGCCCTAACAACTGTCAAGCATTTGCCTCCGCTTGATAATGTTAATGAAGATGGAACAAATAAATCTGACACAAAAACTCCTGGAAAGTCAGCTTCTGTTGGTCCTGCAACGCCAAATATGCCTAAAGCTGACGATGCTGTTGCTGCTAGCGGTATATAATTTTAAAATGATATCAAGGACGTATCCAGGGGATCGGTGTTTTTTGGGGGGGGGGGGGGCGCCGTAGGCAAAAAATTTTTTAAATTTGAGGGTTGTAGGCGAAAAAACGCCAAATATACCTAAAGCTGACGATTCTGTTGCTGCTAGCGGTATATAATTTAAAAAATGTTTATTATGTTCCCAATAAATTTTTAGGTCGAACTCTTCGAAGTAGCACTACCAGTGCCACCAGTACACCAGCTGCTGGTAATGAAGCTGCTTTAATGCCGGCTCCTTCAACTCCTGCACTCAGCACAAGTTCATTTATTCTTCCAACTGGTTCAGACACTCAAACACCTCTCTTTTACAAAGCTGCAGCAAAAATTTCTGGAGGATTTTATACTCCAATTACTGGTTTGAATTGCAGTTCACAACGTCTGAATGCTTTTCGCAATGTGGGAAGGTTAAGAAAATTTTTTCTTAAAATTTTTTAAATTTCTTATTTTAAAGATTGATTGGAATTTGTCTTCAACATATGGAAATTTTCCCTTTGCCGTATTATTTTATATTTTTTTAATTTAAAATTTTTTCTCTTTAAAGTCTTTCTCGTTATGTTCTTAAATATATTTTGGGACGTAATATTACTTGGTATGATCTAGCCTTCTTTGATTCATCACTCTTTGATTCTTTACGTTCAATTGTTTACAATGAGAATGATGAAAGTTACCAGTCTCAAGAATTTTTCAATCAACTTGAAATGACATTTGCTGTTGATTTGCCTGCTGAAGAGGTTAAGAGAACAATAAAAATTTTATAATTTTTATATAATAGTGTTGTTGGCGACCGGTTATTACTTTACTGTTGGTACCTTCGGTTTTCGGTTATGACTGGTTATTAAACTAGGGGAGCAACCTGACCCCCGAAACCCCGACCCCGACGCATTTTTGTCAAAAACCCCGACCCGAATCCCGAAGGCTCTACTCCGACAAACTCCGATTCCCGACACACCCGCCCTCGGCTTCGGCTAATTCCCCAAAGCACTTCTTTTCGGTTATGGTTAATCGATGGCCAACAATTCTATTATACTTTTAAATATTAATTTTTTTATATTTTTATTTTTAGGGTGGTGGTACACTCGAATTGAAGCCTGGTGGTGCTGATATTCCTGTAAACAATGAAAATGTTTTGGAATATATTTATCTTTTTGTTGAAAATCGCCTTATTGGACGAAATAAAGCTAGCCTTGATGGTATTTTTTTGGAAATATTTTTTATATTAAATTTTTTAAGCAATGCGTCGCGGTGTCTTTGACGTGTTACCAGCTGATGCATTAATTAATTTAACTGCTGAGGATATGAGATTAATTCTTTGTGGCAGCCAAGACATTAATCTACAAATTTTGCAAAGCTTTACAAAATTCTTTGATGAAAGTTCAGCACCAGCTAATGTGCTTGCCAAATATAAAAAGAATTTTTGGATTGTGGTGAATAAATTTAGTAATGCAGAGAAGCAGGTTTTTTTTCAAAATTTATTTTTTAAAATTTATTTTGTATTTTTAAAGGATCTTTGTTTCTTTTGGACTGGCTCTCCAAATTTGCCATCTACTGAGGAAGGATTCCAGCCATTACCTACAATAATGTATTATTTTTTAATGCTTTTTTGGTATACTTCTGTTGTTTCCCAATATTTTCTGTTTGTCTATATGATTTCAAAATTTCAAAAGGTACAAAATTGTCATGAGACCTTCACTATAGGCGAAAAGTGCCCGGCTCTACATTTTAGACTTACTATAGCCCTGGGTGTGTGGAGCCTGGTGTCTATTTTCTTCCATTACGTCCACTGTATTCACATAAAATCTTGTGGGATTCTGTTCGACCAGATACATAATTGTAGTTCTAAAATGATCTGCCGGGAGCAAGTTTTGTGACAATTTTGTCCAATTTAGAATGAATGAGAAAAGAAAATAAAAGAAAATGTGGGGGAGATGACTGAAAAGTACTGCTCTTTTTAAGTAGAATAATAATTTAATACTACAAATTATTTTTAAGGATACGACCAGCTGATGACTTGCATCTTCCTACTGCAAACACGTTATTTTTTTAATTATTTTTTTAAAATCTTTAAAAATATTTTTTTCAGTTGTATTTCACGATTGTATGTTCCGCTTTACTCTTCAAAGAAAATTTTGGCATCAAAATTGCTTTTAGCTATTAAAGCGCACAATTTTGGATTTGTTTAAAAGATATCCCTTTTTTGATTATAAAAAAATGTTTTATGCTTATTTTATGTATAATTTTATTTTAAAAAATGTCTCAACTTTATGATTATTTTATATAAGACCTTTATTGCTTTGTTTTGTAGTTGACACACACACACAGCTCGGGCCCATACCGTTGATGCACGCGCCAAACAGAATTTCGATACACGTTGTTCATTTCCAGATGTTTTGGTTGCACCAACAGAGTGGGCCAGCTGTGTTGACATAAATATAACTTTCGCTTTTTTATAAATTTTAAAAATAAAATTTATTTGTTGGCATTTTAGAAAGAAATATCATTTTTAGTATACAATCCTTTACCTATACAATCCTTTACATACCCTTAATCAGCTGAGGGGACCAGCTGTGTTAACATAACTTTTGCTTTTCGATAAATTTTAAAAATAGAATTTAATTGTTGACATTTTAGAAAAAATTTTTTTAGAAAATCATTTTTAATCATCATACAAAGCCTGCCTGTACAATCCTTTACTTATGGCCCTTAATATGTTATTCATTCTGCTGCTTCCCTTCTATTTTACTAGGTATCTTTAAAGTGTAAACATTAAAAATAAATCCTTTAAGCTTAACAATGAGTACATCTCCTAGTTCAAATAGTCCTTTGACTCAATTTCAATTGCTCATTAATTCTTCTGAAGAGGATCTAATTCAACCATTGAACGCTTTCTTTGAGACATTTTTTGCTATGAATGATAGTATTTCTATTGAACAGTGGGATATGGCTCTTCCTAGTGATTCTGAAAGGGAACAAATGAAAGAGGTCGTTTAATACTTTAAACAACTTTATGACAAAATTTTAGCTTATTTCCTTCCTTATGAACACTGATGATTTTGGCAAAATCTCTTCTGATTCGACTTTGCTTTCCCGAGTTGCTCCTCTTCTTGTTAAATCAATCCAATTAACTTTTATTAAAGTTGCACCTTTTAACTAGAGTGGCAACCCGAACCCCAAAAGGCTCTACCTAAGTCCCCGACGTAAACCCCCGAGTTGGGGTAGGGGTAAAAATACACCCCTAAGGATGGAATTGGCCTTGGCAAAACCCCGATCCCCGACAATCCCTTCCCCGAAGGATCGGGTTGCTACCCTAATTTTAACTAGTCTTTACTAATTAAAATATTTTGAAGAATCGTTTCTGTGTTGTCCACGAACTCTTGCCTCCCTCCGAACGCTTTAAACGATTTTGGGGATATTTGGTACTTTGCTCCCCAGCCTACTGTAATTCGAATAGAACGCGATTACATCATTCTTCTCCACACTTTCTGACAGACGGTAAAATTTTTTCGAAGATTCCAAAAATCTCGAATTTAAAATGAAAGGAGATGTATGTAATCAAACAGCCGCAATTTTTGAGCGAACTGGGTCCCGTTCTTTAGTAGTTGCTGGTGCTACTCGTTACTCAGTCCGAGGAAACCTCACTTCGTCTTGCCAGCCAAGAAATGCAATAGCTGATGCAGCACATAATAATTTAACAATGTTTCATACAATGTGTGTTGGTGTTTTTGAAGCTTCGAATGAGGGGATTTTTATGCAATGGCATGGCCAACAGAGTTGGTGAGGAAATAAACGGGTTTTGAATTAACAAAGGCTCTTATCCGGATTACGCGTCCAATCGAACCTTTATACGTCCAATAGCTAGTTTATGCGTCCAATCAAAATTATGCGTCCATTCAATGACGATACGTTCTCAGCAGGGATGGGACGGGCTGAGAAAAAAGTCGGGTTGAAAAAAGTCCGGGTTTCAGGTAACCCGTCCCATCCCTGGTACACAGTAAGTCTAGGGGAGTAGAAAGCTTTACTTACCCAGAGTTATGATGTATAAAGCTGTGATTGGACGCATAAACTGGACAAGAGCCGTAACAAATTCACTTAAAAAATATAAACAGCCCACAATCTGGAGCATTTATCAGTGCAGGAGCTAAAGGCACAAATCCCATCTACAAGGACAAGGAAGCATATGTAAACAAAGTAAATGACATTAAAACACCCATAACTGATCTTAAATTTGGTTTTAGTTGGTCTCCACAGTAAATAAACTCGTAGGAGAAGACATCGCAACTACGCCATTGCAGGATCGTAAATGCTCCTTGGTCGCTTCGACAAACGTTTTTGGTCGAATTGTAAATGGAGTGGAAGAGGAAAATGCTTGTGAAGGGAAAGCAGACCCAAAAGTAAAATTTTTGTTTGAAATTTTGTTTAATTTTCTTTGTAGAATGTCACAGGGAATTTCATACATATTGAACAACAAAGAAAGTACAGGGATGATTGGGCAAGTAATCTTTCCTATATTCCTTTAAAACTTGATATTTTAGATCCTCTGGATAAATGCAATTAAACAATTGTTTTGAAGGACCGATTATTTGTTTATGTAATACATTAGCTTTAAATTTAAAATATTAGATAACTATGTATTATCCCGTTTCACGATAAAACACAGTCAAGACAAAGTCCGATGAAATACCGTACGACAAGATACAGTCAAGACAAAACACCGACTTACTGGCAATTTTTAAACTTGACAATTTGTGCGTAGCAGGGGGGGGGGACGGTTGAGTTGAATCAGTTTGAATCCATCCCGGACCTTTGTATATACAACCTCATTTTGATCTTAATAGTTTAATAAGATTAAGAGGGATTAAGTGGGATGTCTACTCGCAAGATAGTATTTATAAAAATTCCTAAAACTTCAAAAAACAACAATATAAATTTTTAAAATTTTCGCATAAACATGCAATCATCAGAACAACAATCAATGTCACAATAATCTCCATTACAGCAAGTATTTCGAGGTATTGCGGGACTCATCACTTTCTTACGACAAGGCATTGCACACATTGCCAAAGGGATTAGTTGGACTAAATGAGAAATTATTGGGAGTCGATTAGGAATATTTCTGTACCTTGTGTTGGAAGATTAGAGACCTCAGGCTGCAATATTTTTGGAGGGGGAACCTTTGAATAAATTTAATTTTAAGTTGAAATAAAATTCCGAGACATACAATTGGAGCAGTCTGGACTATAGGCGGTGCTAAAACATTCGGTAAAATAGGTGGTGGAGGAAGCAGTGAAGGAGCTCTAAAAAAGGGCGGTGGAAGAAGCCTTGGAGCTGTATATGCAGCGGGGATTTGAGGCTGTAAGATGGTTGGTGGTGGTTGTGGAGGAAGTGGAAGAGCTCCTGTTTTTAATAAGATGATTTTTAAAATACCATGTTTCCTCTAATCGATAGTCCAGGTATTCTATTCTTTAATCATCCTCCGGAGGGGTTTTCTATTAGAGGGACACTCAAATAGAATTGGGGGGGGGGTATTCTATTTTACAATCATCCTCTAAAGGGGTAGTCTATTAGAAGGGAGGGTGACATTCAAATGGAGAGAGGGTAGAGTTCGATCCCCCAATCATCCTATAAAGGAGTACTCTATTGGAGGGGATGGGGACATTCAAATGGAATGGGATGGGTGTTCGTGTGGGGAGTCTGATGCATTCTATTAGTTGGATGGGGCATTTTAATGGAGAGGTGCCGAGGTATTCGATCTTCCCATCGTCCTCCAGAGAGGGATTCTATTAGAGATAATACGTTAGTATTTTTTACTCTATCTGACAGAATCCCTTTTTTTACCTTGAAATGGTGACGCCAAATTAAGCAACGACAATCCACAACTAGGAGGACATAATCCCCCACATCCCAAAGTATTTCCTCTATTTAAAAGGAAAAGATCACAGGCATTAATTGGAGAGAATAAAATGGCCAAATTAATATTTATTAAAGTAAATAGAATTAATAGAGAGAAGGATCTTGAAATTTTTCGATCATTTTTGTAAGGATATTCCATGACAGAATTAAAAGTTTTAATAAAAATTTGATTGATTTTTAATAGAATATTTCCTATTAAGTAAATTACATAATTAGCAACAATTTAATTGAGGAAGAATATTAATTTCCTTTTAGTTGAAGAGTTGTAATAGTGTAAACAAAATAGGCAAATATTTACATAAGCTTCTAAATATAGCCTTGCGCTCAGTTCGTTCTTTTATTCATTGCTTTGTTACTTTTTTGGCTTTGATTATCCTTAATTCTTTGTTTTATTCTTCTTAGAATTTTTTAATTTTATGGAAATAATAGATTAAAATTAAATTTATTTTGGCAAGAATTTGAAAGAAAGTTAGCCAAAACAATGACCACTAGGGTTTGTGGAAAGTTGATAATCATCGGATATCCGGATCCGATATCCGAACCGAAAATTTCCGAATATCCGGCCTTTTTTCGGATCCGGATCCGTCAACCTTAATGACAAAATGCCGTCTATAACACCGTCCTCCCAAAACACGGACTGTCAAAACTGAATAACCAAAGTGGCTGACTAGAACGATGAAAAACAAAAAGCCTATCGACCAAAAATCCATCTAATCACAATAATGTCAGATAAAACAGCATAAGACAAAAAAGATGTACGACTAAACCCAGGCTTGGATACTGATACAATAAGTTCAATATCTGTCTGTATCCGCCGTAAATATCCGGATACGGATACCAAAATCCATTTCCATTACCAAGACTGACTAAACCACTGACCAACCAAAACACCGACACGGCAAAAACTATAGTCAAAATACATTTCCAAAGAATCGAACAAAAAATTTATTAGTGTGAAGGTTAAGTGTGAAAACAATTTTATCGTATTGGTATTGTAATTTTAATATTCTAATTAAAAAAAATTTATTCAATTAATTCCGTTCTTGGCTTCTTCGACTTCTCAAATTCAACATTTTAGAAGGTTGATTAACCTCAAGGTTATCACAATTGAATTTCTCGTTAACTGAACAGTTGCACGATTTATCTAATAAATTTAGTTAAGGAGACAATTGAGTTATTTTTAAACCTTCCACAGCATTAGCTGACGAAATGGGAAAATTCAATCTCGGGAAAGGCACTCCATTAGATATTTGAATGCTTCTACGTTTACGCTTCCCTCCCCCACCACCACCTTTTGAATTTATTTTTTAATTGAAAATTAATGAATTAATTTATTAAAGCATACAGCAACAGCATGGACAGCTTAAAAAATATTTTTTAGATTTTAAAATTATTTAAAGAAAATTTTAATTAGTTTACCAGCACTTGCAACAACAAGGACACGTTCTTAATTTAATTAAAATTAGAATAAATAGGGATTACCGTATAATGCTCGAATAATTACCCTCCTTCAGTTACTCCGACCTACGTGAGGTCAAAGCATTAATTACCTGCCCCAAACCTTAATACTAGGTTTCACCGGAAGTTCCGGTTCCGGAAAGTTCTGGTGTTTTTGGTTCCGTTTCCGGGAACCGGAACTCAAATTGGATCCGGTTCCGGTCAAAATTTTGGTTCCGGTGAAACACTACCAACAGGAAGTCGAAGCCTCAATTACCCTCCCCCAAACCTTAATGCACGTTATAAACCTGAATATTTGCCCCTACTCGATTAATTATTCCCTCAAGCGGGAGGACGAAGCAACTCAGGGTAGTTATTCAAGGGAATACGGTAAATTCAGGGAATACGGTAAAATAAATATTTTTGTTAAAATACCGTGGCAGCTTGATTCTGAATATTAAAGGGAATTTAATTTTTTAAAATTTTAAATTATATCTTACAGTAATGGAGGGTTACAGCAAGGTGTGCTTAAGTTAAGAAATTAAAAAAAATTTTTTTCACATATTTACCAGCATGAACAGCACTTGCAACAATGGCAGCAACTAATTAAAATTAATCTTACACTAAAAATTTTCTTTAAAATTTACCATCCACATCCATTAGCCTCTGCATCATTTAAATTATTTAAGATTAAAAAAGCAAGAAAAAATAATGAAGAGAATATTAATGCCATTTTTAAATTTAAAATAAAAAAGAATTATTATTTATTGTTTTGATAAATCGTCAAAAATTTAAGAGGGCCAGGGCCTTAAAATCAATCATTTGATATACTTACTATAAGCAGATTTTCATGTACCGAGAATTACTTATATTTTCTTAACTGAATCATGGAATTATGACGGAGAATGAATTCTTGTTCGACCTCCAGTCACAGATCCGTGTCTACACAATTAATCACTTTAGAATGCAGTATATCCTCTGATAGCATACTCTCCTAATTAATAGAACATAAGTATCTAATAGAAGCTTACTCTCTAATATAAGCACATCTTACGAGAGGGTTGATAAATAGAATCAAAGGTGGTTCTATTAGAGTAGTTAAGATAATTCCTCATTCTAAGGATAGGTTCTCCCAAGGGTACTATATCAAGGTCCTAAATAACTACCCTGAATAGGTTCCCTGAATAAAACTTTAGTAAAATATTTTAATTAATATATATTATTAAATTAAACAAAATATTTAAACAATAAATATTTAAAATGTTTATTAAGTTGATCATTTTATAAAGCGAGAAAAATACAAAGAATATAATTTTATTGTCTACAAACATATTATTATTAAAGAATAAAGTCTCCAAAAATGCTTATTTAAATAAAGAAATTTTATTGTATTTTAAAATTATTATTTTTTGTTTTTCTATTAAAAAAGGAAAGGCTTTAATAAAAAACCGGAAGTAAATAAATATTTATTTTTGTAATTTGTCCATTTATTTGCATTAGTTGATGATCATTTTTATTTAAAAGGACAGACTTTAATTTTTTTAAGGAAATAAAGGAAAGACAAGAACTATTATGAGGAGCTATAAAGACAAATTTAGCTTATAAATAAATAAAATAGGAATTATAAAATATTTATAAAATAAATTAAGAGAATAATTGGACAATTATTATGGTTGGTGGTTCATAAAGGGATAAAATTGAATTTCGTACCCCCCCCCCCATTTTTTCCTATTTGTTACAAACTTTACTCTATGACAACAATCTAAACAATCATTGGATTAAATAGTAGAGCTGTTTACAGAGCTTGTCACTCACGATAAAGACTAAAGTACATGGGAAGAGGAATCATGTGACGAAAAAATCAAACAGACAAAAAAGATAAATGAACAAAACTTCTAAAACTGTGGATATCCCTTTTAAAAAATCTGACACCATTCTGTGCTGCCCCACCGCAGTCTTGTCTTTGGAATTTTTAAGTCAAGCTTGTCTGTATGAAATTTAAGAAAGTGAAATGATGCTAGCCTGATAGAGCAGAATCATGCTACAAGGAGCAGTCCGGATTTCGGCTATCGGCTTCAGTAGAGAACATACAAGTTGTTACCCATATCCAGTATAATTAAAACTACTTTCGGGCGTCCCAACTAAGTCCTTCTGCTTAGGCATAAGGCAATAAAGTCCCCCTGCTTAGGCAGGGGGCCCCAAAGTCTTCCTGCTTAGGCAGGGGGCAACCGAAAATTTGGAGTCATAGTGCATTGTCATTAGTCCTGTTTATAGTTGTCATTAGTCCTGTTTATTGTCATTAGTCCTTGTTTTTATAGTGCATTGTCATTAGTCCTGTCCCTTTTTTTTTATATTTTTTTTTTTTTTTTCTTGCACGACGCCTAGTTAATAGAGCTTCTGAAGTTCAGGTTCTTCAGTTCCGGTACGGTGGTAATTTTTAGGCTTTATTACATTTGTCGACCATACTTCACCATCCCTTCATAGGTTATAGGATCGAGACTGAACTGCTCAGTTCAGGCGTATGCCAATCAAGCTTTAATTCTACATATTTATTTCAAAAATATGATAATTTGAAAATAAGAAAAAGATAAAGAACAATCACATAAATATTTAAAAATCAGCTCGAAATTCTGTTCTTACAGTCATCCTTAATACCTCGACGACATTTCATTTTTCTTCTCCCATAGCCAACACCTTTAAATATTTAATTAAAAAATAAATTTAAAAATTTAAAATTTACATCCGCAACAGCAAGGCTGGCAACCTCAAATTTTTTAAAAAAGGGAAATTTAAATTTTTAAAATTTAAAAAGAATCTTACAACATGGAGACCATTTGTAGTGAGATTCTAAATATTAAAATTTGAAAAATTTTGAATTAAAAATTTGCCTCCACAGCAACAAGGGGAGCAACAGGAACAGCAACAAGGTCGGCAACAACAACAACAAGGACGACCTAAAAATATTAAAAAAGATTGGGGAGGATAGCTGAAGGAAGGATATTCTTAAGGGCATTTTTTGGGAGGCTTATTAATTGCCCTCCCTCAAATAATTGCCCCTACTAAATTGACTCCCCAACCAGCGATGGGCGGAAGAAATAATTACCCTACCACACGTCACACTCGTCTAATTTAGCCCCCACTCGGTTAATAACTCCCTTAAGTGGGAGGCCGAAACAATAATTACCCATGGCATTCATACAAGGAACTACAGAATAAAGTGAAGAATTAAAAAACTGAGAGGATAGGAGAGGAGTCAACAAAGTCTGGAAGGAGTCGAAGATGTCAGACCATGGGAAATTTTCTGATATCCGAAAATTTTCTGATATCTTCCCTCTATTCTGATAAATATCGGCCAATGATAATTTTAAGTGTGCGGGTATCAGGCCTTGAATCTGTTCATAAAAATAATTTTAAACAAAAATAATTTACAGCAACAACAATTGCAGCAATTACAACAACAACAAGAACGTTTATTATTCATTTTATCAGAAATATCAGTAGAGTTTGTAGAATTTTTATCAGAACATTTTGGTGTTTTTTGATTTATTTGAGGTGTTGAACGACGAAATTTCTTCATTTTTCTACCATAACCAGTGCCTTTAAATTAATTTAAAATTTTCTAAAAATATTTTTTACATCCACAACAACAAGGACGACAACCTTTAAAATTAAAAAAAATTTTTTTAAGAAAATTAAACTAAC